CAGAAATCGGCTCAGGCGGGACCGATCAGGCATCATTCGTCCAGCCCACCCCAACCCTCTAAGGGTCGGTCGAAGCAGCAGAGTGAGGCGAACATGACAAGAAATTTGGGTTTAGCGGGAAGTGGGGCTGAGAGTTCCAGCGAACAAGCGGGGTCCACAAGGGCTTTAATCACATATGGAAGGAGGGGAAAGTTTGAAGTGTTGTGATAGGATTATACTACGACTATTAACCTGGGGTTTGGTTTTTTTATGCATGGTTTGGGTTGGTTGCAAATTTCTTTGTTGTCATCCCTCCAAGTCCTTGCCTGGATACCAAATTGATATGATCAGGAACCAAAGAGCAAACAACGACGAAATTACAATAGTTAGGTGGAAAAACTCAAATGATGGTTAATCTTATGAAAATCAAATAAAAAACAGGCAATATACAATGATGGTCTACTGTTCGAGAGGTAGATCGTCTCTCCACAAATTCTAGACGCAATAGGAACACCACTAGGAGAAAAGAAATTTGCAGCCAACCCAAAACATGCACGAAAAAAAACAAACCCTAGGTTAATAGCTTTAATATAATCCAATCATGGCACTTCAAACTTTCCCCCCAACCTCCTCTAATTTCCGTTTTTTCCATACGTGATTAAAGCCCTCGTGAAACCCGCTTATTTGTTGGACTCTTTGCCCCGCTCCCAACCAAACCACACCTTATCGTGTTCACCCCGCTCTATTGCGTCGACTAGCCCTTGGAGGGCTAGGGTGGGTCGGAAGAATGATGCCCGAACTGTCTCGCCTGGACCGGTTCCTTACCAGGCGTAACAAATTTAAAAGAAGACCAGGCATAACAAATTTAAAAGAACTTAATATTAATAATAACACTTAAACATATTATGTATTTCGCTCGTCAACTTCAAGTATGTTTAATAGCACTAACAAAAATATTTTTTTGAGCTTACTTCAAGAATTCTAAATATAGTAGTTGTAAGGAAATTGATGCTCTTAAAATTATTCAACATAAGATGTTTTTGTATCATTGGAGATTTAATTAGTAGTTGTAATTTAAATCAAGAAACTATTTTGCAAAAAGCTCGTGAAACCTGTTATAACTCATTTTTTTCATATTTTAATTAGTCACACAAAAATGCATGTAATCAATAGTTGAAGTACCTGAGGTAGAAAAGGATGCTAGGGCACATGATCAACATTCAGTTCAAGTTGATGTTTTAATCAGCACAATAAAATCTTTTGACTTTATATTTATAATGTATTTAATAATTCATATTTTATGAATTACAAATGTATTATCGCAATCATTACAAAGAAAATATCATGAGATTAAGAATGCAATAAAATTAGTGCAAATATCCAAATATAGATGATAAGGGAGAATAGATGGGAATTTTATTCTATGAAGTTTCTCATTGTTTTTTAAATTGGTATTTCATATATGAACTGCATCTTCAAGGCTTATTGTCGGTTCACACAAATAGATGAAAAATAATAATTTTACATTATTATTGTATTGAGTTACTTTACATTGTGATTAACATGCAATTTCAAGAGCTAAAAAATCATTTCTTTGAAACAAACACTAGAATGATTTTTTGTGTGACGTGTATAAATCCAAGTGATTTATTTCCTATTTTTTATAAAGAAAAATGTATTCTCATATGCATGCATATATCATATTTTATTATTTTTTATCTTACATTTAAAATTTAAAAAAAAAAAAACTTGTATTTAACATTTAAAATAAAACTTGGACTTCACATTCAAAAGAGAAATGGACTTTTGCATTTTAAAAGTAAAAGTTGGGAAGCAGAAAAAACATGCATACAAAAACAAAATTATTGTGAGATAAAAATATATTACTCATTTCAACAATGTCGTATGTTATCATTTTCCTCAAGTCAGTCTAGTCCTTTGGTGCACCAATAATAATAATTTAAATGTAATTAACTTCGTGTTCAGTGTTAATCTTTTTCCTATTAATTTTAGATTATCTATCATTATTTTCATTATTTCATTATTTACTTAGCTATTTATTTACCTATATAAATATATAAATATACATATATATGCATATGTATTAGCTAAACATATATACATATATATCTAAGAAATCCAATTTAATTTTTATGTTAAAGCTTCTAAAGCTTTCCATTTTGCATACCTACTTGTATCAACTTATCTATAACTAAATTTTAAATTTAGGATTCTTAATTTCCTTTTTAACATGACTTAATAAGAAAATATAATTCATTTTTAAAATTGAGTTTTACCTGAAGTTGTCCTCTTTAGTTTCTGACTTGGCTTCCTCATAAAAAAAACCCTAAAATTATTAACAACATTAAATCATATTAAATTGCAGAATTTTATGAAATTTAACTTCAATTAAATTCAATTAAAAACTTAACATAATTTAATATCTTACCTTACTAACCTCTGCCTTGCCCTAAAGTTTCGAACTGAGTAAATGAGGCTCGATCGAACCCCCCCTACAGACCGCACACCCGCTCCCGCGAGCTCTTCTTCCTCCCCAAGCTCTCGGTAGAGCTTCAGGCCAGTCGCGCGACAGGTGGTAAACGATCCCACGACTGCTTCCTCAGCGAGCCGCGCGAAGGAGGAATCCGCCTCCTTCCTCTGCGAGCCACACGACGGGTTCGTGTCTCCACCTTTCTTCTTCTCTTCTTCTCCTTCAGTCTTTTCTTCTTCCTCCTTCTAGGGCGGCGCGAATGCCTCTCCCTCCTCTTCTTTGTTGGAGTACGGCCGTTCGAGCCTCCAGGTAGCCAAACGAGCTTCTCCTTCTTCCTCCTCCTTTCATCTGCTGCTCACAGCACTCGACAAAACCGTTAGAGTTCTCCTCCCTTCGGTTCGATCGCGTGCAGTGAAGGGAAATAACTAGGTAAGTTGTTCACCTCCTATACCTCCTTCCTCTACTGCTTCTCCTTCTTCCTCTTCCTCTTCCTCGATTACTTCTTTCATCTTCTTTTTCTTCCTCTCTTCTCGTCCTTCTTCTGGCTTCCCATTGTCCCTCTCTCTGCCTTCCCACTATCCCTCTCTCTCGCTAGGTTCAAATGAAAGGAGACCAACCCCTGCTTACGTCCCCCTCTAACCTCTGGAACCTAACTATAAACTACAAATAAAAGTTCTGAGCTTCAATGGTTCCAATAGGTACTTAAGTTATATGGAGTTTATAAGGGGTATAAGGAGGATATAACCCCTATACCTTTTGAATAACCTCCACGTATGTAAGACGTACGCAGCACTGCGTACATAATGGAGATTATATGGGTGTTATATCGGCATTATATTCACGTTATATCCCTTGTAACCTCCATATAACTTTCATGTAACCTACATGTACAAATAAGTGAAAACAGATGTGCAAAACTTATTTGTAAGCTCAGGTAGGTTACAATTAGATTATATAGAAGTTAAAAGGGATATAACGCGAATATAATGCCGATATAGCACCCATATAACCTTCATTATGTCCGCAGCGCTGCGTACATCTTACGTACGCAAAATTTTTCCGTGCAGGTGTAGTAAGCAGTTCATTTTTTTTTTAAATTAAATTAATTATTTATTTATGATATTATTATTATTATTTTGTTATTATTACAAAGCTAAGGCACATATTTTGAAGATTGTGCTATGATAAACGATAGATTTAACAGGAGTAACAATTAAACTGTCAATTACACTAACTGAATGATTGAGTACCGAGAAGAAGGATGAAGGCATTTTCTTAATTGGAAATTTAGAAAAGTTTATCTGAAAGATAAATGCAGCAATTTAGAACATCGGGTCTACCTTGTATTGTGAGAATTTAAGGAATAAAATGAGAATCTCTAATGACCTCAGGAATTAAAATTTTAAATTGATGGCTGCAAGCAACCCTTGAATTAAGGCTTCAAATTAAGTATTTTAAGTGACTTGAAAAACTTAAATTTAAAAAATTATATCAGCAGGCAGAGACAGAGAGAACATGCTCAACTCAGATCAGGGATATGACCTCAACAAATTACCTCTGCATCAGCTAATTCAGCAGTGGACGATTTCAATGAAATAAGAAATTGAAAACCACTGGGAGAAAACTTGATAGCCACATACAAAAGCAATTCATTTGAATTTCACGCTTGTAAATATTTGATCAAACAATACATAAAGGCAAAGAGCAGTGATTCCGAGTTAGGCATAATATAATACAACTACATGCCTATGCTTATAAACAAGAACTAACCATTTGTATATTAACACCTAACTTGCTTAATTGTCTACATGAACGGACTAAATCACAGAAAATTCACCTAGAAAAAATATTTTTAATTGCCAATTAGCAAGGCTTGCTTTAATAAGCTGGACATCACAAATGAAAAGTCAGAACCTACAAATTATCCACATAAAGCTGCAACAAAAATACGATTCATCGATGACAAAGTTATAAAGCCAGACCCCAAAAGTTGTAGAAGAAAAACGATAAATTGCAACATCCAATTTAAAATGAATACTGCACTTGCAACATCCAATTTAAAATGAATACTGCAATTGCAACATCCAATTTAAAATGAATACTGCACTTGCAACATCCAATTTAAAATGAATACTGCACTCAGGCTCTGCTTTCGTTTTGCATCAAAACTACAAGAAAGATTAGAATATTGCAATCCTAAATAGTGTCCAATAACCACACTTGGTAGACCTCAAAAACTTTATTCAGGCACAAAATCTTGAATAAAAACCACTGACAAAGTCTTACCAAATGCTAAATTAGTCCAAACTTTTCACATAGCATAAATATTGTACATCAAAATGAATAGGAGACATAATTTGGTGGATCACTCAGAGTACATGCAATCACCAAAATACTATCAAGCCTAAGACTTCAAATGCTTTGCAACAAACACTTACTGCAGCAAAGATGTGTATTCTGAAAATTCATGGCAATAAAGAATTTGACCTGAACAAGGCTGTTAAAATTTGTGAAGTGTTGAGATAATTACGATGCAGTGCAGGTGAACAGCAGCAGAAACAGCAGATAAAACCATTGTTGTGACCGTTCTGATGATTTCTCCTTTATAGTCATCCTCCAATCACAGCAATGAAATACAGCTAATGCAAATGCAAAGGATAGAAACCATATCAATGCAAGAATAAATCCAGCAGCACCTGTAAACCCAACAGACTGCAGCCAAGAAACAAGAAATTTATATCAAAAACATACATTTTAAGGTCCGCCAGAATTAGTATTTTTAACCTGCAAAAATTGCAGCGCTGAAAATAGCCAAAATAGCAAGCAACCTGGGTTAAATGCAAATAAAAATTTAAGGTTTTCAACTTCTACTTTAAATTTTCCTTATAACATCAAATGAGAAATGAATGAAAGCAAAACATTCATACAGTTCATTGTAAAACGTGTTAAGCTGGAACCCGATCCCTCCTTCCCGCTCCCGCCTCCGCCTGCTCCCGCGCCCGCTAAGCGAAGCTTCGCTTCGTCTAATCGTGAATAGTCGCGGCTCCTTGTTGTTTCATGAAACGTCGTCTCTCCGCTTCCTGTTCGCGATAAAAGGCATCGCACGGCTCCTTCAATTTCTAAGTCACGATTTTTGTGTTCTTCTTCGGACTTCCTCGAGACAGAAGAAGAGAGTACAAGCAATAGTTCCTTACGGCATAAGGAAGAAGAAAGAAAAAGATTGTTCTTCATTGACTTCTTGGTGGTTTGTGGCAGAAGAGAAATTGGGTTTATTTCTCTTGTAAGTTTATCTTCTTCGATGTATCTTGGTGTAGAACTTCTTTGGTGTATCTCGGTGTGGAGAGAGAAGAACAGACAGAGAAGAAGACAGAGCAACGAAGTGAGAGATTCCTCTTGTAAGTCGAGACGATCGACTGGTGTAAATTCCTCAAGTAATAAAAGTCTCTGCAACTCCGTGGACGTAACCGTGGACGTAAGCAATTTGCAATTTGCCGAACTACGTAAATTTGTGTGTTTCGTTGTGTTACTGTTTTCTGGTGTAAATTTTCTCGTTCTATTTTTTCGTTTCGTCAAAGATCTTTCTCCTATTTTATTTCGATACAAAAGCAACAACTAGTATCAGAGCTTTGTTCAGATTTGAGAAAGAATGATGGCTGCTGGGGATTGAGAAATTTGATGACACAGATTTTGGTTATTTGAGGATGCAGATAGAAGACTACCTCTATGAGAGGGAATTTTATCTTCCGTTATTAGGGAAAAAGTCTGGAATGATGGATGAGGCTGAATGAAAATTGTTGGATCGACAAGTTCTGGGGTTATTCGATTGACCCTATCGAGGTCTATTGCACACAACGTCGTCAATGAGAGGACAACTGCAGATTTCATGGCAGCCTTATCAGGTATGTATGAAAAGTCATCGGCGAATAACAATGTGTACTTGATGAAGAAGTTATTCAATTTGAAGATGGTGGAAGGTGTTTCTGTTGCTCAACACCTAAATGCTTTCAATACTATCACAAATCGATTGTCGTCTGTTGAAATTGATTTTAATGATGAAATACATGCGCTGATATTGTTGGCATCATTGTCAAATAGTTGGGAAGCCATGAAGATGACAGTTAGCACTTTTGCAGGTAAATCTAAATTGAAATGTAATGATATTCGTGATTTGATTTTGATTGAGGAGGGGCGCAGGAAAGATTCTGACGAGATCTCAGGTTCTTGGCGAGATCTTAGGTACGGGTTCGACATTGAATGTTGATTTCAGAGGGAGATGACAGAACATGAGGCCCAAATAGAGAGACATCAAAATCAAAGTATGGTCAGCAGACAACCTGCTGGAATTATGGCAAAACTGACCATATAAAGAGGAACTGCAGAAATCCCAAGAATATGGAGATTAATAGTGCAAATGTGATATCTAAAGAAGTACAAGATGCACTATTGTTGGCAGTTCATAGTTCTGTTGATGATGAAAGTGAAAATGAGAGTGGGTCCGGGGCACCCATTTCTATTGTTCAACAGACAGATGGTGGAAAACCACAGAGCTGCGAAGAAATCTTGTGAGATGAAAGTTCGAGCAAGTGAGAGCTGACATAACTTACATAAGGGAAGAATGCATTACACAACAAGTGAGAGTACCGGGTGAAGACTGAGCGTGATGGCAGTAAGAGGAACAAGACAAGACTTGTTGAAAAAGGCTTTCAGCAGAGGCAGAATATTGGTCATGCAGTGAGAGTTGTAAGCAGAGACAAGAGTAACCTAGGAAATAGTTTGGAGGTGCAAGGCTATGTAGACTCTGTTGATATGTTGACTGATAGTGTTACTCTTAAGAAACTGAAATTGTGCACAGCTTCAATTGGTCTTCTGGTGTGAAGACAGAGTTTTGAGTTACAGAGGTGAATGATTCATGTTTGAAGAAAAAAGACGCCGTCGTCAGTGGAGGATATCAGTTTGAGGAAGATGACGTTGTAGCATGTGTATCGGTCTCCACGTGGGAGATTTGTTAAGCTGGAGCCCGATCCCACTTTTGCCGATCCCGCCTTCCCGCTCCCGCCTCCGCCTGCTCCCGCACGCGTGAAGCGAAGCTTCGCTTTATCCAATCGCAAATATTCGCGACTCCCTGTTGTTTCGCGAAATGTCGTCTCTCTACTTCTTGTTCGCGATAAAAGGTATCGCACGACTCTTTCAGTTTATAAGTCACCATTTTTGTGTTCTTCAGACTTCCTCGGGACAGAGGAAGAGAGTGTAAGCAGTAGTTCCTTGCGGCAGAAGAAAGAAGAAGGAAGAAGAAGGAAGAAGAAAGAAGAAGAACATTGGAGTGTAAGCAGTAGTTCCTTGCGGCAGAAGAAAGAATAAGAACATTGTTCTCCCTTGACTTCTTCTTGATTGCTTGTGACAGAAGAGAAATTGGGTCTATTTCTCTTATAAGTTTATCTTCTTCAGTGTATCTCGGTGTAGAGTTTTTTCGGTGTATCTCGGTGTAAAGAGAGGAACAGAAAGACAATAAGAGAGAGCAACTAAGTGAAAGATTTCTCTTGTAAGTCGAGACAATCGACTGGTGTAAATTTTTCAAATATTAAAATCCTCTGCAACTCCGTGGACGTAGGCAATTTGCCGAACCACGTAAATTTGTGTGTTCCGCTGTGTTACTGTTTTCTTGTATGAATTTTCTCGTTCTATTTTTTTCGCTTCGTCAAAGATCGTTCTCCTATTTTATTTCGATACAAAACAACAAAATGATGACTGATAATAATACCCTTTCTCAAACCAAAAGGATCAGGATGTAGCATTTTGTATGAGTTTGAAGTTGGATAAGCCATAGCAGACATGTTTTTTAATGGTTTTTGACAGATTTGGTACCTACGCAACAAGATACTGAGTTTGAACAATCTTAGCAGCGTACAGTCCAGCCAGATATAAAGACAGCCAATTAAGATTCGGTTTAGAAATATTAATAGAATCCATTCAAAGTGTCAATGTTTTGAGCAAATAGGTTGAATGCCTTTTTTCCTTTACTTTCATTCCAATAAATAATGGTCTCTACAATCTATTTTAGATATCCTAATAATATATATTTCTAATGTAACCATTCAGCTATAAGGAAAGAATATGTACAATTAATATAGTTCAACAATTTGAATAAGGAAACTCCTAATTCTGCCTGATTTCAGTTCATCTTGATTGATATTCCCGTTCAAATTGATGTTGATTAATCAAGAAGCGTCAATTTGTCAAGAAGAAACTCATGACATTGTTGAGAAAGAGTCTTAGTAAATATATCAGTAGTTTGAAGATCAAAAGATATTTGAAATAGAATTGTCGACGAGTAGGCAGGTATTGACGTGAACAGAGAAGGATCGTGAGCTTGAGTCTAAGTTGTCGAACATATGCACAGACGAACGGATGAAGTAGTCCAGAAGAGCGAACAGTATGGTCGGTGAACCAGACGGGCAGTTGAAGACACGAGAACCAGCAGAAGCAGAGAGACTTGCTGCCTAGAGATGGGATTAGAGAGAGAAATCTGAGGTCGAAGCCTAAAATCCTCAATTCTTTAGTGTCGAAGCCGAGAGTGTCAGAGCCGAAGATCTAAAGTTTGTCGAAGCCGACGCTCTAGAAAGGAGTGTCGAAGTCAAAGCGGACGAAGCCAAAGCGGAAGAAGCAGTTGAAGATGTCGCAAAAGCAGCAATGGCTAGCAAAGAAGATCCAAAGCGGACGAAGCCTTTGATCCTTGAGTGCGACAAAGAAGCCGAAGCTGAAACTGACGAAGCTAAAGCGGAAGAAGCGGTAGAAGACGTTAAAGACATAGGAAGCAGCAGGCGAAGATGGAATAAGCTCGAGTCGAAGATGAAGAAGAACGATTCCCAAAGGTTAGGAAAGACGATGAAAGATTCATACCGTAAATATTCGACATGGCTCTGATTCCATGTCAAAGTTTTGAGAAAATAGGCTAAATGCTCTTTTTCCTTCGGTTTAATTCTAATCTATAGTGTTCTCTAAAATCTATTTTAGGTATCCTAATAATACATAATAATTTATAATAATACATACTCATAATCTAACCATTCAGCTATAAGGAAAGAATATGTAAAATTAATATACAGAATTTAATTCAACAATTTAAATAAGAAAACTTTTAATTCTGCCCTGTTTCAGTTAATCTTGACTGAAACAAGCCAAATGAAGACTTCCCGCATATGTTACCCAATAATATCAACATTACAGGGAGATAAATGTCTCCCTTAATGCATACAGCTGAGAGAAATAAAAATGAGAAGATTGAAATCGCTCACAGCCCAGTAATGCCGATTGGTAATGTCCCAGCCTCCTCTGTAATGCCTAAACTTGTTCAGCACATCTGGCCTCCTCGTTCTCTTCGCAGCCAATACGAGCAGAACCCCAGCATCCGGAGCCATTGCCGCAGGTCCAGACGCCAATGGTGCGAAATTCAGAATCCCGTCGGATACAGGCACTAAATTCCGGCCGCCTTCATCGACCAACAAAAAAGGAAAACAAAAATCAAACAACAGTACTCAGTAAACCAATATTATAGAAAGGACAACATAACTAACTGACTGAGACAAGTATACATCAGGAGTTTCCAATTCCTAAGGAGAACCAAAAAACCAATGCAAGTTCCCATCATCATCCAACTTGCCGCCCTCGAAAAGAAAAACCCCATGTCTCTAGAAAGGCCACCATTTAAAGATTTTAAATGTCACCTACCAATCGGGAAACTGTTGGAAACCTTCGCTGCACCGACGCTGACTCGCAGCCCATCAGTCTCCGCCGATAAAATGGCGGAGAGTATAAGGGAGGAAAGCACGGCTGATGAGAAAATGGCGGCGATCGCCATCTCCAGATCTCACTTGAAGCACCTACGACGTTTCCATGTGAGCAAAAGCCGATCAGGCTCCAAATGTTAGGATCTTGCTCCTATTTCCATTCCCATTTTCCATGACTCAAGTTCTGTGTTGAAGGGGGGAAAGAAACTACAAGGAAGGGACAAGGGGATACGGCCATTATCGGCAGGACAACCGACCTCCCCGGGGAAATTATTACTCTCGAGTGCGGAGCATCTCTGTACCCTCAACTGTTTCTTTTTTTAATGCTACTTAGTATTTATAATTGTTTGTTTATTTACATAATACAGGAATTTTAAATTATATTATGAGTATTATTTTTTATACAGTTTGATCCCGTTGAAATAATAAAATATTTAATAAATTTACAAAATCAGAAAATAATTACAAATCTATCTTAAGCTCATAAATACTTAACAAAAGAAGTTCATTTTCATCCAAACCAAATAAGTGAGCATGAATGCTATCCCCTGTGATTTAATATAATTTTCATTTATATTTAATAGTTGTCTTCTTTAATGAGACCTGTTTTTTTCAATTGAGAATAAGGCTATAAATGGGTCGAGTTGAGGGTAACACCTTGCTTCTATTTTGAATTAAGAACATACCCATGAACATCAAGTGTAAGAATCCAAAGCAAAAGGAAGTCATCTGATTTTTATAAATCAAATTGTATCTTTGTACTGCATGACCATTCTATATAGATTTTAATAATATTAATCATCTCTGCACCACATGTTCTCGTCGTTATACCAATATTTTGCTCCCGTGAGGACTTTGGTGCTTACAAGCACTCGTCACGTGTTAAATATATCTTCTATGGTAGAGCTCTACTACTGCTCACTAAATTTTAATGCCAGTAATAGGTATACAACTATCAAACCAAATATTAATGACCAAATTACCTACAATATTTATGAATTCTACAGTGAAAGAAAGCCATAAGCTATTTGCTCACAATTAATCTCAACTAAGTTTATGTGTTTTTTAGTTATGATCCTCAACAAATCTTCTTATTAGGTATTTAAGACACGTTCAACAATTAACCAACCAAAATATTGCATATTTCCTCTGCTCAAACCATTGCAAGCTCTATAAAGTTTTCATATCATTCCATAATAGTTTCAATGGCAACTCATGTTGGCCAATCATACTTGTCTTACTTCACTTAATAAAACCCCCCTTTGTTGTTGAATAAAAGGGAGTGTACATTGGATTCTTGTAATAAAATAAATGTTTGTGCATAAGAGATCCTCTACATATATCTTCTATTTCATTTCTTGTCTAACAACCAGCAACTAACAATATGAGATGGGTTTTACTCTTATTTATGGCATATTATTATTCATAGTAAAATCATGTTCATTTATATATCATGGACTCTAGCCATCATCAAATCATGTAAATCTATAATGTGTTTTTCTCTCTCAGTCACATGCTCTCTCTCTCTCCACACACACACACATCAAAGAAAAATAAATTCGGTAATAAAATAAGATAAAACTAAGCTAAGCTTAAATCAAGCTTGAATAGTGGTGAATTAAAATGAATCAAACTCAAACATACATCATAAAAGCTACAAATGTGCTCGGGTTGATTATGAAATGAGATCAAGTGGAGTTCAAACAAGCATTTGCCAAATAAGAACATGTGTTGCTCTGTTGAATACTTACTAATGTAAGAAGATCAAGTCGGTGACTATTATTTGATGATTGATCTTATTCCACTTGGTTACCTCTTTATAACCATATAGTAACTAAAATATTATCACTCACTTTGCTAATTGTGAATAATAACAACTCAATGTATCTAAAATGTGTTAAAGAAAAAAAAATTATGTTTAATTATCAATGTTTAAGAAGATCATGAAACATATTATGACTAGTATTATTATATTTTGTGACAATGATAGAAAATAAGCTGAAAATATAATATGAAATAAACTATGCTATTTTGGAGTACTTTAATATAATGGATACCATTTAATTTAATTGAGCTTGTGTTCATTTATTATTGTGTTGGTTATTAAAATAATTATATTTATGTTAACAATGGCTCGGGAGGTTTTAAGAAAAAAATATCACTTACTAATCAAATAGTTAATATATTTAGGCATTGTGATAGTCATTGACATTCATTTACGATGTTGAAATTTAAAGTACAAGCCTTAAACACACAAGGCATAATTAATTAATTAGAATTAATGGAATATAGTGATTAGTTAACAAGACTTAGGTGATTTGTAATCGATGGTCGAAAACTTACCGCAAAATAAGTCGGTCAATCACGGAAGTATACATGTCAAGTCATTTGTGCTATAAGAGTACGTGTATCGATCCCACGAGAAAATGACAAACAATTATTATTTGACAAAAATCTCTAGTTTACTAACTTTGTGAACCTAGCTTGACATATTCACAATATGGGGTTGAAAATCCTAAAAAACCTTAAAAAAAAACTAGGGTAGAAGATCTCTCTCTATCATACAAAACTCTTAAAGAAAACGCAAGAACAAATGGGAAGAGAAGATGTAAGTGTGAACCTAGCTTGACATATTCACAATATGGGGTTGAAAATCCTAAAAAACCTTACAAAAAATCAGGGTAGAAGACCTCTCTGTATCATACAAACCTCTTAAAGAAAACCCAAGAACAAATGGGAAGAGAAGATGTAAAAACAGCCCCTAAAGGTTTCAATCCAAAGAGAGAAAGAAACCTCTGGGAGAAAACTCTTTCTCTCCAAATTATTTCTCCTCTTACAGCCTTCAGCCACCCAAGATGCCCTATATACGTCCCTACACACACACACACACACATATATGCAAAGTCGACAAAGGCAAGAAAAATCCTCCACATTCGGTTTAGCAACATAGGTGCACCGTAAAAGCCAATGTAGGTGTGCTAGGTCAAATGTCGCCTATAATTGCTAAAATTCTTCATTTTTTTGCTATGAAACTGCATTCAACCTATCACCTGCACAAACAAGAAAAATTTACATTTCTCAATCGTACTATCACGATAAACAAGAGAATTGACATGATATTTAATGCAAAAAAATTATGTTATCAATTTCTTAAACTTACTCCTTCTTGTCCTTAAGTAATCTCATATCTCAACAAGGATTAACAAGTTGTTTGGAGTTCACACGTGGCTTCTTGATTCTTCAACCTCATTATATAAATGTCATGAAGAATGTGCAAATTTCATTTGAGGGTGAGATTTTCATCAATTTCTAATAGCCAAGTTATTCATTTAATTCCCTTCTTTCTGAACCTCGAGTAATTGAAATACTTTTTTTTTCCAAATACATTTTTAAATCAATTAAGATCCAATTAACCAACCTAATATTTCTTAATGTCTTTCCTGATTATAATATCTTAAAAATTTCGTTTAAAAGTTTTTAAGCCTTAATATTTAGGAGAAAATTAATACACAATTTTTTTTTTATTTTTTCGTCTTTTAATTAAAGTCTTTCACAATTCTACACTTTTTATGAAAAAAAATATTATTTCTAATGTAAATTATTATATTTGATGAAATACATTTCTTTTAAAAAATTTGTATATTTACTTACCCTTATATGATACTTATCAAGTTCATTTAATGTAAACTTTAAAATATTATAATTCATTAAAAAAGCCAAGGCTCAATTAAATAGGTTATATTGATAATTAAATTGGTTAAAGTATCTCTAATTGATTATTAATATTTTAGTTGCACAATTTAAATTATCTTGAGACAACTTAAGGTTCAATTAAACATTATTGAAGTGTATAACATAGTTATCAGGTCATTAAAGTCAATCCCACCTTTTAATGAATATTTTTATTTGAATTGAAGAAAGTGTATAATGTCATTAAGTTATGAGAATTCCTTATATGAGTCCCCACTTTAAAGTGCAACTAAATGCTTCAATGCAAGTAACACGCATTACTCATTGTTTGTTCCAGGCATACAACTATAAAAAGTATGGGAAAATATAAATGAAATGCATATAAAAACTGAAATTGATAGCAAGCAATGCACCATGACGAGACATCGCAGTGTGGAGATCAATGCATGTAAGCAAATCACTTGGGTGAGAATTCAAGAACTTCGTATGACTATTGACAAAAATACTTAAAAATAACATGCTCAACACATTAGGTGCCGCTTATGGTGCCTCATAAGATGGTGCTTGGTTTAACGTCCTCAACATTACCAAAATGGCTTCCTCCATGATCAAAATTTTAACATAGCAATCCCCAATCAATTGACCAATATTTTCTCGGCTCCATAGTTTTTATTAAAACCTCATTTTTAAGTTTTTCTTACAAATTTTTTTCTCTCAATTCGATAACAATCTTTAAGAGGGGATCATACATGTTATCATTTCTAAATGTATTTTTATATCTATAATTCTCTCAATTAATTCTCTTACATTCACATCGCTATTTTCTCAATATATTGCAAGTAACAAATCCTTATAACATTTAAGAAACAGACCCCTAGAAATTAAATCAGGTTTTCCTAAATTTTGAGTTGGGTCCTTCAACGTTCTTGAGGTTCGGGATCTAATTCTAATGTATTACTATTCTGTCTATAACTATCGTCAAACTCTTTCTCGCGTGGCACTCCTATGGGTGGTCCTATAGGCTCAAATATCTCCATCATAATGCAATGGGTGCCTTGAAGAAAAGAACACATTCTTCCTCAGTTATTGTCTAACCAAAATCATTCAACTTAACCTGCTCTTTAAGACCAACACTTCAAATTCACATATATGACTATCCATTACCCTGACATCCTTAGGGTTTATAGGCAAACTGGTTTGTTGTGATCACAACAAGGGGTTAAAATTTAAAAAAAAAATCCAAGCATAACAAAAAAAGTAATTGTAGAAAGTAGAAAAAAGATAAAATCTTAATGCACTTAAAGAGTGTTGAAGCTCGCGCCTCTGTAATTCGGGTATCGTGAGGGGTTTCATGTTCGTTCTTAAAAGTTTTTCTATGTGATAGTCAAAGTATCTTTTTATGTCTATGTTTAGGTTAAGATAAAAATTTGAACCTATGAAATTAAGCTTTGCTTAACCCCATAGTGTTTCTCGAGTTTATTGTGGTCCCCTATCAAGCTTGAAGAATCTTACTAGAATAAGTCCATCGTCTTAGAATTATGAGGTTAACCTATTCATTCCGCTACACAACGAGCAAAAACCAAAAATCATGAAAGATTTTAACATCTGAATTGGTCATATTATGAGTAAATGAAATTCAGAAGGTTAACCAACAACATACATCTATGAAATTAAGAAAAAAAAAGCTACATGAAAAAATATCAAAAAATCATGATAAATCCACTAACCCTACATCATAGAGACACGAAAGACAATTTAGCTATACATAGTAGAGGAAACCATTGACATAAAAACCGTGCATATCATTATTAAAAAAAAATAGTTACAACACTTACAATCAAGACTTATTCTCTCCACCAAGGTAGAAGATTTATTTTCCATACAAAAATCTCAAAGAAACATAAGAGCAAATAGGAAGATAAGATGTAAAAACAGTACCTATAGGTTTCAATCCAAAGAGAGAAAAAAACCTCTATGGGAAAACTCTTTCTCACTTCTCATCCCACAGCCTCCAGCCGCCCAAGATATCCCAAACACATTGCTAAAAACAAATGCATGGGTAATGCTCAATAAAAGCAATATTTTTTCTTTTATAAAATTCAATTTAATGAGCTGACGCGGGTTCACCGTGAAGACGACACAGGTGCATCGCGAAGTTAGCGCGGATGTGCCTCGACGTTGGTGTGGGTGCACCGTGATGTTGGCGCAAGTGCATTAAATATGAAATATATGGGCTTGGGTGCGCAACGTTTCAGACTCAAGTGCTTTAACCTAGCGCAGGTGTACTGTTTTGGCGTGGGTGCCTCAATAAAGGAAATACAAGTGCGTTAGGTTGAATTGTTGCCTTTAATTACTTAAATTTATCTTTCATCGGTTCGAATGCTAGCGCGAGCACGTTAAAATTGAAATATATGGGCTTGGGTGCGCAACGTTTCAGACTCAAGTGCTTTAACCTAGTATACGTGTGCTATTTTACGCGTGGGTGCCTCAATAAAGGCAACACAAGTGTGCTAGGTCAAATGTTGTCTTTAATTACTGAAATTCATCTATCATTGCTCCGAAACAACATCCAACCTATCTCCTGCACAAATAAGACAACAATATCCTTCTAAAACATATTATTATGATAAATAAGAGAATTAACATAATACCACTAATCCATGCACTCAAGCAAAAATAAGGATACTTTGAATATTTATTTAGATATATTATGCTCTAATATATATGGTTTACACTATATTGACTCAGTGAAAGTTGACAAAGATATCTCATCACAAGAATAAAATGATGACTAAGCGAGATGATATATTTCCTTAGAGGGAAAAGCACTTAATCAAATGATCTAGGATGGCAAGAAACAAGCATGCTAAGATGAGACAATGTTGATGAGCAAATATCAAGCACCATGGCACAAAAATCATCTTTTATATGGTAATCCTCTAACTAAGGAAGTATCCCGAGTAAGAAATTTCTTCTCCATGCTCTATTTCCTTTATCTCATAGCCAACATGACACCATATTGACCATAGAGCATTTATGAGAGGTGTTTTTGAGCATATCATCACTTTATTCAAGATCATTTACTTTATTAACTCCAAATTGCATTTGAAATTGACTTAAATTTTAAAATTTATTCAATATTATATTCTATTCTATATCAACTCGAAGCCTTAATACTGGGCATAAGTAACTTACATATTTTAATTAAAATAGTATAAATTATTAAGCACAATCAAGGTGTTTAACAAAATTCAAGTATCAATAAAATCAAATTTCAATATACATGCCCAATTAATTGTTTGAATATTTCCTATGCCTTTTAATAATACATAAATTTTGAAGGCCATGATAACATAATGTCATATACTACCATAAAATAACACGCATGTTAGTGTTTTGGCTCATTCAATTATACGATAAATTATTAAAAATTCTTATAAAAATTTTATTTGTGAGCATATGAAAACATAAAAGTTTCATTATATGAATGATCATATTACTATTCACCAAATGCACTTGTTCTCTTGCACCTTTGTTAGATAAGTTATCTCAAAAGATGGGTTTCAGAGCTTATCAGATGACATATTTTATTAGCCCATAACATGACAATTTTTACATAGATACATTATATAAGAAAGACAAGATTATGGTTTTGAGTTAATTAAAGAAATTTAGTCAAATTTAATGAAATTGCAGTCACTATATTATTATATTACTAACATATTTCAATAAATTTAGTTTGAATCTAAAATGTTCTATTTAAATTTTATCGCTAAATACATGCCATCTTTTATTGATTTTATATCTGTAAGTTGATTTGATTAATCTTATTTAATTTATAACTTATATAAAAAAGGCAATAACAACAAAATCATTAACAACAATAATAAAAATTATAATTATAATAGTAATATTAACAATAATAATAATGATGATGATAATAATAAAATTTTGAACTTAACTTTATGAAATTATCTTCAAGTTGCTTGACCAAAAGGATGATTTAATAAGTTCTATAAATTTTAATCAAGTAAATTTCATTGATGGTAAATATTGAAAAAAAATGGGAAGATTCACATGCAAAGCACTTAATTTTTATGTATTTACATATCTAATGCTTAAAATTCAATTTTTACGTATATGCTGCTTTACATTTACATGAAAGCATGCACTTTACTTTTTAAGTAAAAAATTTGTGACATTTTTTATGTGACATTAAAGATTTTGATGATATAAATGTAAAAATAAAGTTCAAGAATCGGGCATGTAAATGCCCAAAAATTGTGTGAAATGCATGTAAATGTCCATAAAAAATGAATAATAAAATGATTTAGTATGATAATAATAATAATAAAAAATAGATATTCAACTTAAAAGTAATAAAAAAGTGTCCATTAACTTTATTGTAATGAAATTTAGTAAAAAATTTAAACAGAATAGCATAATTTTCAAAAATAATATAAAACAATGTATCAATTCAAAATTTTAATGTATTTATAAAGTATTATTTAATTATTAATCAAAAGCATATTTTATTTTTTAATTATTATTATCTGATTAATTAGAAGAAAAATATAATTGTGACATTAAATCATGTCATTATAAAATTTTAATATGGAGCTATAAATAAAAATATAATTTAAAAATATCTTATTTTAGAGTTAATTATAAATTCATTAAATTGCAAGAGGGTGTTTTATTTATATTTACTCATGAATTAAGAAAATTTATAAAAATAAATATAAAATTACTGCAACAAGGCTAAAATTGGGGAGCTATCGTCGTCTACCCAAATCCCCGAAACCCTTGGCCGAGGAAAGGCATCGACGGGAGTGGCGTCGGGTGAAGCAGAAGAGAAGCTCGGTAGAGAAGCGTAGACGGAGAATAAGTGAAAGCCCTAAAAGGCTGTAGATCCGACGACTAAGGATTTTGCAAATACCCTCAAATCTCGAAGCGGAGGGGGTTGCGGGATGGCTCGGCACAGAGAAGACGAATACGAAGAGGAGGAGGACGATGAAGAGTTAGATGAAGAAGAGGATGACGACTACAGAAGGAGCACAGGCGGGAGGAAGCGAGGCAGGTCCGATTTCATTGACGATGCAGCCATAGAGGACGACGATGAGGAGGAATACAGAGATGAAGAGGACGAGGATGAGGAGCTATACGGCGGTCGGAAGAGAGGCTCTGAGTTCTTCGATCTTGAGGCCCAGGTTGATAGTGCTGACGAGGAAGAAGAAGACGAGGATGCTGAAGATGGTAATGTTATTTGTTTTCGCGCAGTCATGTTGATTTTCTTATTTTTTGTGCACCCACATTATGGCTTGTTTTTTTTAGCTATAGATGATCATTTTCAGCAGGTTCTCAAATTCGTACCCTAGCCCACTTTTAATTTCACTATTTAGCTTAATTATCCTAGAATTATGAATTTTATATCACATTAGCTTTTCTTTTATATGATTATTGGAATTTCTTAGCGAGCTGTTCTAGTTAGATCAGTTGGAAGAAATTAATTTGGAAGATTTAACGACGTTTTAGCGGTTGAATTTCTCTTATAGATTTCTTTGGTTCTCATATTGACATAAAAGCTACAAATTCTCTCATCATATTTTTCTACCAGTGCACCAGATTGCTATCTTGAATCCCTGTTAGTCCTGGCTTGCTAATGTTTTTCCGCAGCCACATCTTTAAAAAATCCATGGCTAAGAACTTAAGATATCGTAACCAAAGTTTGTTCTTATTTCTCCTATTTATTTTTTTTATTACTCCAATATTTCACTTATTTTGTCATTCCTCCCCTCTTTTATGGCAAAGAAGTAGTTGTTAGAGGAACTATCCACTAACTATTTGCATTTTCATGAGTGACTGTAATTATGGTCTTCAAACCCGAATCTTTTAACTGTTTTCTTGTGTTTATTGGTAGAGCTACAGAGTTTAGATTCTCGTGACATGGTCGGTGGTAAATCATTTATTGAATGCTAGAGACACTAGTAATTGGATCTTTGCTAAGAGTGTTTTTATGTTTCTATTATGCTCCAGAAGTTTTATACGATGAGAAGTCTTGAATTTGGAACATAGTCGACCCGATACAATTTATATTATGCTTGAATAGTTAAATATTCATGCCCAAGTATTTTTTTTGTTAATAGAGCTTTAAGATACATTAGTTTTTTTTCTTTTTCCTCTACTCCCTTTTACATTGTTACTGATAAACTTGTGTCATATTTTGTTGATTTCATATCATTTTCTGTTTAACTTGAATTACTGAAAAGAATAGGTGATTTGTCTCCATGGACTTTAGAAGTAGATATCACAATCCCAATAAAATTGCATGTTCTTAATTTGTTCCCATCCTGTTGATAAAAAATTGACTGAAAGCTGATATGAACAATTTCAGATTTTATTAATGATGCTGGAGCTGACTTACCCGATGAAAGTGGTGGTAGAAGACCACATCGTCCATTAAATATGATGCCAGAGGATCAGGAGGATGTTGAAGAGATGGAAAGGCAAGTTTATGAAAGATATGCAAAATCAAGTCACATTGAATATGGTGAGGATGCCACAGAGGTTGAACAACAAGCTCTACTCCCGTCAGTGAAGGACCCCAAGTTGTGGATGGTGAAATGTGCTGTAAGTTTTTTACGCATCTATTATTTTCTCTTCACAATAAATTTTCATCATTTTTTATTGTATTTATAAAGTTCTTCAGCATTTGTTTCCCATAATTCCCAGATTGGTCGAGAGCGTGAAACTGCAATATGCCTCATGCAAAAATTTATAGACAGACCTGAACTGCAGATTAGATCAGTGGTTGCATTGGACCATCTTAAAAATTATATATATGTTGAAGCTGAAAAAGAAGCCCATGTGAAAGAGGTTTGCATAACTCCATTCATATAAAACTGTTGTGGGGTTATATTTCAGTATTTTCCTGGTAAGCATATGTCCAAAGATTATATTAAATTCTGGTTGTTTTATGATCAGGCTTGTAAGGGTTTGCGTACCATATATAGCTCGGCTAAGGTGATGCTAGTTCCTATCAAAGAAATGACAGATGTTCTTTCTGTTGAAAGCAAAACCATTGAAATTTCTAGGGACACATGGGTTAGGATGAAACTTGGAATTTATAAAGGAGACCTTGCCAAGGTATGTATTTGTTCAGGTATTATTTACTCTGTCTCATGTAACATTTTCCTAACATTCTAGATTTACTTCTACAGGTTGTTGATGTGGATAATGTACGACAGAAAGTAACAGTAAAGCTAATTCCAAGAATTGATTTACAGCATCTTGCTAATAAGTTGGTAAGAATTTCTAGTTATTTATTTAAATATAGTTCGACCTAAACTTTTCAACATCGTTGCCAATAGAAACAGTCATGTTCCAATTATTTATGCCTCATTATTGATCATATGTTATTTATTTGTTAGCTTTTCATGTTCCATATATCTTAATTCAGATTAAATTTGAAATATTCGGAATTACAGTTTGATTTGCTAATAAACAATTTGTGAAAATGCACTTTGATTTGCTTGTTCTAGCTGATTAATACCTTTCTTATTCTCATTTATGATGCATGAACTTAAAATTTTATGCATGAATTTGAGTGCTGTTGTGGCATGTGGGTGTTTATTCACAGACATGTAAATTTTGTAAAAGACTTGTAAATTTTGTAATTATTTTAAATATGGTGGCTAGGTTGTAAATATTTATCTATATAGTGCCTGTTAGCGCAGCTCAAATGTTTGTAACAGTGGTACATCTATTTTAACTTAGCACTCTATTGTAAGTTTTTTCCTTTGCTTTTTAAAATCATTGAATATCTCAATTTTGATTTGTGTGGAAATGCAAAATGGAAATCCTTTTCCCACACATGTGTTAATTCCATTATTCATGATCTTTGATGTCTATTTTATACAACACAGCACACTTCATACCTCAATTTCGGTTGTAAATATTTTTCTATATGGGGTCTTCTCTGGTTGATAATGGCCATCTTATACGTCCAATTGATTATTTTTCTTCTATTAAATGATTCTTCTCATATTTGTTTCATAACAGACTTGTATGGTGCAATTCTTTTTCTGTTATCTGATGCATTGGTCTTCCATTTTAGGAAAATAGAGACGTGGTTAAAAAGAAGGCATTTGTTCCTCCACCTCGTTTTTTCAACATTGATGAAGCTAGGTACTTTTATCATTGACTTAATATATTTGGTTCTTTGGCATCACGATTAACTTTATTTTTATTGTTTTTGGTGTTTAGGGAGATGCATATCCGTGTGGAGCGCAGGAGGGACAAAGATACTGGGGAATATTTTGAAATGGTTGAAAATATGATGTTCAAAGATGGTTTTCTTTATAAAACAGTGTCTATGAAATCAATCCGCTCTCAGAATATACAACCAACTTTCGATGAACTTGAGAAATTCCGAAAACCTGGTGGTGACGGTGATGGTGATGGCGATGCTGATATGGCTAGTTTATCAACTTTAATTTCAAATAGAAAGAAAGGTCATTTCATGAAAGGAGATGCGGTTGTAGTTGTACGGGGAGATTTAAAAAATTTGAAAGGCTGGGTTGAAAAAGTTGAAGAAGAAACTGTTCATATCAAGCCTGAGATTGCTGGCTTACCTGTAATTCTTATCTAATCAGTTTCATATTCAAATTTTTTTTTACATTAATTACAATATTATGGTAATTGTTATTTTCTTTTGATTGTAGGAAGCTTTGGCTTTCAATGAGAAGGAACTCTGCAAATATTTTAAATTAGGAGATCATGTGAAAGTGGTCTCTGGAGTACAAGAAGGTGCAACTGGTATGGTTGTGAAGGTTGATGGCCATGTACTGATAATTGCATCAGATACCACAAAAGAAGATGTAAGCCCTTTTGATATATCAATAAGTTTTCTTAGGTAGTTTTTATCCACCGCTTGACCTTTTTTCATCTTGCTCTACCAGATCCGCGTTTTTGCAGATAACGTTGTTAAGAGCTCTGAAGTTACCTCTGGAATCACAAAAATGGGGGATTATGAGCTGCAAGATCTCGTTCTTCTTTTGTATGTCATAATCATGTTATAGAAACTTTTTTTTTGTATAATTATCAAAATTTTCTCATGGTTCACTTAAATAAACTGCAGCAACATGTCCTTTGGTGTGATAATAAGAGTGGAGAGTGAAGCTTTTCAGGTGAGAGCAGGCTTATTTTTTTAGAGTACCTCATATTTTTTACTTTTGCTAAATTTTTTTTTTTATTTATTGAATTGAGAAAGGTTCTCAAGGGAGTTCCAGATAGACCAGAAGTTGTACTTGTTAGGTTGAGGGAAATAAAGAGTAAACTTGAGAAACGTACCAATGCACAAGATAATAGAAAAAATATAGTCTCTGTGAAGGATATTGTTAGGGTCCTTGAGGGGCCATGTAAGGTATCTATCGATGATTAGACATTGCCTTGCATTTTATTTTCTTTCCTGCAAGTATCTGTTTATGAATTTTTTTTTGTTACGACTTCTTATATTAGGGGAAGCAAGGTCCCGTTCAACACATTCATAGAGGAATCCTGTTTATTCATGATCGGCATCACCTTGAGCATGCAGGCTTTATTTGTGTGAAAGCACAATCATGTATTGTTATCGGTGGAAACAATGATAAACGCGTATCTCTCAAAGCACTCTTATTTATTTGCTGTTTTTTTTAGCTGCTGTTTGGGGTTACTTTTGTTTTTGTTTTCCATTTATTATTTCTATTGTTTTGCTTATATTTTGATATAAATTAAATCGTGTTTGGTTATGATAGTTGTTTGTAAAAACACTCAAAATATCTTTTAGGTGTTTTGAGTGTCTTTAAAAAATAATTTGATTTATTTTTAAAAATAAAAAAAAATAAAAACATGTAAAAATTATACTAAAAACATAATTTAAAAAATGAAAGGAAAACCGAAAACAATAACAAAACATAAAAATGATCCCAAACAAGCCCTTATTGATGATTATTATTAGGGTAATACTGCTGATATTGATAATTAATGGCTATAGCTTTGATCCTGCTTCACTTTCATCATAAGATTTGCTATCTTGGCAGAGTGGTGATAAATTTGATGCAAGATTTGGTTTGAGACCTTCATCTCCTTACCTTCAATCTCCAAGAAGGCCACCGAGAGGACCAACAGATCGTAAGCATTTGACATTATGATTTTCATTTGTAATCTGAACTTATGAGGTAAAACTTTTTATGACAAACTACCATCTTAAATCTGATGTAGGTGGTGGAAGGCTTAATAGGGGTGGTGGACGAGGACACGATGCTTTAGTTGGAAGAACTATTAAAATACGTTCAGGGCCTTTTAAGGGATATCGTGGTCGTGTTGTGGAGGTCAGTGGTACTTTTGTTCGCATTGAATTGGATTCACAAATGAAGATAGTTGCAGGTTAGCTTCATCTATAGGTTTCTACTTCACTAAAAATTTCAGATAATTCTGTCGGGTTATACTTTGTTATTTTATTTTATTTTTTTTGTTTTAGTCAAAAGGGATGATATCTCAGACACACCAGGTTCTGCAACCCCATTCCGGTATTATAGTTTATTTTATCTTATTTTAATAAGCTTCTTCAAGGCTAAGCATGATTTTTTCTATATTTTTTTGCCTCATAGCGAACCTTCTCGATATGGTTTTGGAAGTGAGACACCCATGCATCCATCTCGAACTCCACTTCACCCATATCAAACTCCTATGAGAGATGCTGGAGGTTAGTGTGTTCTCTTTCTTATGATACATAAGCCTGTAAAATTAGGTTTCCAATCTTTAGAGAGTATTACTCTTTGCCATTTTCTTAACTTAAAAAATTGTTTATATTTCATTGTTGTCATTTCTTTCACGCTATCATGATCTATAATCTATATCATGCTTTCGCTTCATGCAGCAACTCCCATCCATGAAGGCATGAGGACACCTATGCGTAGCCGAGCATGGGCTCCCATGAGTCCTCCAAGGTTCTTACATTCTTCTGTTTTCAGTTTTTATTCTATTGCTTTTCCGTTGATTCTAAGCCATTAGAATTTTCTGTATTATCAGATGTTTTTTCTTTCCAGAGTTTGTAATATGCCCACAATATTTACAGTTGATTAGTTGTCTTTGTGTTTCATTTTCTTCTTTTGAGGGTCTAAAACTGGGTGATATTGTCACCTTTGAAAGCAAATGGCAATTGCTTATTCTAGCTTAGAGAACTGGTGCTATGGGGAATGGTCGTAAGATAGGGATGCCATGATTTTTTATCTCTTAAGTTCTATCGGTGATACTGGGCAAAAGTGGGAAAAGAAGACAATTTGAAATGTTTGAAACTGTTTTTTCTTCTATTTTAATGATGCCAAAGAGAACGGATGCTTTTGATCTTACATTTGAAGTTCATGTCATCATAGGGGTTGTTTGGTTTGATGTTATATAAATAACAAGGCGATTTAGATTATAATATTATTCATATTACAATGTTATCTTTTACATCGAGTGATCGTTTCAATTTAATATTATTTTGAATAATCAACGCTGGCCCTTAACTTTTTTTTTCCTCAGTGTAGATAACATATAAAATGCCATGTCGTTAACAGCAAACCAAACATTCTCATATTCCTAAGGAAAAGACTCACTGTAAGTGAAATGGGAGGAGAATCGTTGTTCTCCTTGTAGTGATACAGAATGTACACACATATTGTGGAGAATCAATCCCTTTCTTGCCATGATTTTTCTCTAGCCATAATTATTATGTTGGAACTCACATATGGCATGAGTGAGTGGTCCATGAATTTTTGTAGCTAGATCTGGAATTTTGGAGCTCATAGATTGATGAGTTGCATGTATATTACTATTAATGTGATTTGGAAGGTACTGATTTGGTGGAATAATGGTTCTGTACATGGGCGATCCTTGGATGTTTAGACTTGCTTTACGTTTTGACCAATTTATTATTTGTCTTCAAATAATTCTAGCAAGATTTAGATACATAGTACCCAATTCTTATGTTTTTACTTATCTAACACCTAAACTTCATTTTTTACATATATACCACCTTACCCATTTATGAAAAGGTGCATTTCATTTTCAAGAGTTAAAGTAGTGATATTTTTTATGTTATATGAAAAATTTGGGTGTTTTAAATGTAAAAAGTATAGTTGTTAGATGTGTAAATACATAAAAATTGTGGGTTATGTAAATGCCCCATAATTCTAATAGTGTGTGTTCGTGCGTGCGTGCTTGTGTGCTCTGGGAATGGGAGAGATATGTTTCCTAATGGATATGCTCTCCAATCAGAGGAATGTTCACAATATAATGAAAGACCACTAATAACCGTCGTACCATGGTTTGCTGCTTATTTGGCAAATGGAAGAAGGGGGAATTTTCTCTTGATGATGCTATTAAGAAAATGTGCAATTGAAAATGAGGCTTATTATTACATTGAAAATATATTCGAGTTGTTTGAGAACAAGTGCATCATTCATAATCAGAGATAAGAGGATATTATAATCAATTAAACATAGGTATATTTGAAGAAGTTCTTTGGTATTGTCCGGAAGATAAATCTAAATACAAAAAGATTCTCAAGAAAAAATGACCATTTTAAGTTCTTAATCGTTCTAAAGAAAAATTTAAATGATGTTTCTTGAAATTTTTTTTCCAATAAGCATCCTCTTATCAAAATAAAGTTGTGGATCAGTGGATGTGAGGAGAGAATAAAGTTGAAAAAGTCAAGATGTGTAAACAACTATCTCTCATCAATGAATGTAACGTAACCTCTGCTATTCATGGAAATAATACTTGAAGAACTACAACAAGCAGGACTGTTTGAGCACACTTGTCAGTCAGTTTAGGAGAACTCTGAAGATTAGAGACCCTCTAAGCCACAAAAAAGTAGTGGTAATAAAATAAACTTAGAATAGAAGACAACCTCCAACGCAAACAAATCCTCATTCTTAAGCAAACAACAATTTGATTATCCAAAAATTTTGGGGTAAATGCAAACTCATTCCACCTCCAACCATGTACTAAGCTTGATAGAAGTAAAATAACTCTCACTTTTGCTCTCAAAATTGTACAAGAAACCTCAAATGCTTGGATTGTAAACTCATGTGCCTCGGATGATGTGATTGTAAATCCAAAATTATTAATCAAGATTATCCCATGGAATGAAAGATTGACTGTTAGGATGTTTGATGGAACTCAATCTCAAGTTGCTGGTAAGAAATCATGAAGTTAAATTGGGAACCTTACTCTACACTCAATTTTAGCTGTTTAGAAACTGGATTTAAATTTATCACCCCTCAATAAATTGATTCAAAACTACCAGTGTCACAATTTTAAAAAAATGTGCGATTTTTAGAATTTGAACTTTTTTGGGAATGTTTGGCAATGCTAGGAAACAGTCACAGCAGGGGTGCCAATATGTTTTCGTCAAACAGTGCAATAACAGTGTTGATTTAGATCAACATAAGCAACCCAAAAAAGTTGAGTCAAATTCAGGTCATTTCATGTCAGGTTGGATTCAAGTCAATTCAAAAATAATTATTTAATTATTTCTTTTTTTAATGAAAAACACATTAAAATAAATAATTTTTTTATATTTTTTCTTGAGGTGTGTCCATATTTGTTAATTGTGTCTATTTTGAATCCATTTGATGTTAAACTATCATGAATTAACAAATTTTCATGTTTGGTTGGATCGGGCCTGGTTTTGGTTTGGTCGAGTCGTTTGGGCTGAGATTTTTGACCCATTTATTAAATGGGTTGGGTTTGGGTTGATTCTATTTGTGTTGGGATCTTATTTTGGTCGGTACCTAACCTGACATTTGAACTTGAATTGCCCCCCCTAATATGTTACCTACATCAAAGCATCAAAACTTATGGTGGACTAACACTTGATATTGATAGTTCCTTTATTCAAAATCCTTTCTCAAATGCCTCAAATTCTAACATTCATGTAACACTTATTATAGATTAGGACATCATTGTTTTCTGTATCTCAAAAATATTTCCTGCCTTATTCAAAAATAAAATTCCTATTGTGTTTCAATGTAAAATTATGTCAACTCTTAGAGCTCACTAGAAACTTGTTACCAAAACTATCCTACAAATAATCCCATTACTTTGTAAAATTTTATAGTGATGTGTGGGGATCATCTCGTACCAAATATATCACTAAGTCTCATTGGTTTTATCCTTCATTGATGACAATGTGGTAGTTACTATTGTTTTTTTCTATAAAGAAATTGAAGTTGATAAGCATTCTAACATTACAATAATATGATTACTAACTAATTTCAACCAAGGATTCTATTTTTAAGATTTGATTATCCCAAAATTTTTTTTAAACACACCATAATCTTATTTCTTATCTCGAGGAAATATTCTTCAACAAATTGGCATTATAGAAATAAAAAAATAGTCGTACTCTTGAAGTTACACGCGCTCTTCCTTTATTCTCCAAAATATCTTTGTGGATGTTATTGAAATTGCTACCTCTTTAAATCAATTGCATATTCTCTATAATGCTTAAGTTTTATACTCTCATCTAAAAACTGTTAGTCATATGTTCAATCTAGATGTTTCGATAATCCTTAGAAAAGCTTTTGGATATCTTATAGAAAGTGAATATACGTCTCTTCCAAAAATAGTAATTACTACATTTGCATGCTATTTTTTTTTGAGAATCAACTCTTATCTGCTGAAACTAATGTATATGGAGCACACTAACACATTTATAATTATATGCCTTTGGTGTGAAGAACCCAATTTTCAAATCCTTACCTAAACTAGAAACTAATTCCTTTCTAATACATTAGAAAAAAATAAGGCGAATTAGGGAAAAGATTCGATTCACATCTAGCTCAATCAAAACTCTAATCCATTTCATATTACTAATGGTATTTTCTAAAAAAATATTTAGTAAACTCAAGGATGACTGAAACTGGCATGTTCGGAGAAGCTGTTTCAATTAGTATCCCCTTCAAAATAAAATCCAATGTAAGTTACTCTAAAAAAAATTCAAGCTTTTGTTACCAACTGTGATACTATCGATATTTCTACCAACATCCAATAATCATTAAAAATTTCAGAATGAAAAGCTCTTATGGATGAGTTTCATTTCTTAGAGAAAATCATACATGGGAGATTAATACTTTTCCTTTCGTAAAGTCCCCATTTGTGATATGGATCTTCATGACCAAGAAAAACAAAGATGAGGTCATTTACAAATATAAGGTCAGATTGTTTGCAAGAGGATCTACCTAGTTTTATAATAGTGACTACTTCCATGAAGCTTTTGTTCTTGTGACAAATTCAATACAATTCAAGTGTTTTTATAATTAGCTACAAATCTTAGTTGGCCTCTTTTCCAGTTGCAGATAAAAAAATGCCTTCTTAGCTGGAGATTTTTGAGGAAAAAATTTACATGAGACCTCTTAGTTTTGAGAATCATTAATATTTAATTAAATATGCTAATTAAAGAGATATCTTTATAGAAAAAATCTTATAAGTTTTAGTCAGGAGATTTATAGCAGTAGTGAGACCTCCATGGCTACTACTAATGTCATGTGAACCACATCATTCGTGAAAAAAAATTATAAGATATATTTTTTAGTTGTTTGTGTTGCTGTTATTTTATAACAGGGAGTTTTAAAATGAAATGAATTATCTCAACTTAAGTAGCAGAAGAATTTGAATTCAAGTATTTAGGGAAACTTCAATATTTTTTGGTAATATGGTGAGAAGGAGAAATCTCTTTCTCTTCCAAAGAGGCATGTCCTAGTCCTTTTAAAATAATGTAATGTGTTGGTTGTAAACTAGCAAACACGCCTATAGAGAATCTATATTAAAGTTAAGGCTGAAGAAGGTACATCATTTGATGGAGGAATATATTCAAGGCGAAATAATGGGTAGTTTATTAGTGTTATTAGCTGATTTATGAATAACTCAAGGTGGAATAGCACATATACAAATTTTTAAGTACTTGAAGTTGACTCCAAGAAAAAGACTCTTCTTTAGAAAAAAAAATTACTTTGAGATTGGTGAATGTATTGTAATGCATATCTGATTGGTTGTAAGTGGTCCGAATTCCACATTTGGATATTGCTCCTTTGTGTATGGTAATCTTGTCATATAAGCAATGAATAATTTTTGGTATATATGAGTACGGTGTAAGCTGTATTTCATTTATTAGTTCATTGTCTATATGAATGGATTTGGATCAATGGACTACTTGAGGAACTTGGGGTGAAATTGAAGGGATAATAAGTAGTATTTTTTTTTTTTTGTAATCATTTTACTATCTATATTGCTAAGAATCTTGTTCATCATGATAAGAGCTAAAACATTGAAATTGATCATCATTTTTTTCAAAGAAAATTTTAATAATGATGTTACTCCAGCCAACTCTCAAGTCGCTGACATTTCAGCTAAAGCACAACCACAGAAACTTTAAGGGCTTATGTTTTGGGCTTAAGTTGAGTAACCTAGCAGCTCAGTTTAATGGGACGTGCGTCGTTATAATCCTATTTGCCTTGACTTTTATAGCTAGAATTAGAAGTTTGAAGCCCAAGGACTACTGTAGCCAAATCTGTAAGTTTGGAGCTCAGAGATTCATGAGTGGTGGTCCACAAATTGATAACAACCCGATTGAAACAAACCAAAGTTTTGCATATATATCTGCGTTCTGATGGTATTTGCCTTCCAATTTGATCTAATTTATAATTTGTCAAGTGTATCCAACATCTTCAAATTTTCTGCAAATGTAAACGTTTGTTATGTTGTTTATCTTTTTGATCCTTCTGAAATAATTGGAATTCAGTTTGCGCGTGTTCTTTCTCTGTGTTTTTCTCTCATAAGAGAATTAGCATTTAAATGCATAATACACAAATTAAAAGATTCTCAAGATATTGCTTGATATATATCAAGCGCACAAAAATTTTCAGGATGGATGGTGATATTGAGCTAAGTTCCATAAGTTCAAGTTGCTCACAAGCTGACTCCTTTATTATTGAAGGGAGACATGATTACGATTGAAGCAGCTATTGTAATAAGCTGATAAAATAATAAAATTTAGTGGCAAATTAAGAAGAATTTAGTTGAGATATGGAAGATAAATTTGAAATATTTTTAGTAAACTTGTATTTAAATTTTTAAATTCTGATATATTTAAAATAATTTTATGTTAAAATTTTTTAATGAGCTGATTTATGAGCCGGCAAGTGGAGTTGTGTTGGGGGTCTTACTGTTTGGCTCATTAGCTCATTGAAATTAGCTGTGCCAAGCTGGCTTAATGGTTGGATCGGCTGTGTTACATCTCTAGACTAGAAAGTCCGTTCAGAAATGGTACTTATTTATTTTCATGCATTGCCGAATAGCTGGAACCCTTCTCTTTGCTTGAAAGCATTGTGTCTTTAATACAAAGCTTCGAGTGGTTTATGTTACGTGATTGAGTCTTTCAGTAGTAAGTAGGATAAGCATGCCTTATGTTTGGACTGCATCACATTGGTTTGATCCATCTTCGTTGATAGGTACATGCCGTAGTCATTTTATTCAATGTTTTCTATGCTTATGGTTTTATGTGAAAAGAAGAAATTGCCACCAAATTAGTTTTTGATAATGACCAATTTTCTTGAATCAGAGATCATTGGGAAGATGCAAATCCTGCTTCTTGGGGCGGTACTCCACAATATCAGGTATATTTTCATATTTTGTATTTATTTTAAGAGCATTTATATACATACCATCCGATTCCTATTTATTTACATATTTAACACCTGAACTTTAAATTTTACATTTGTACCACCCAAATCATACATAATCACATAATGAAAATACCACCATTTTTACTTTTATGAAGTGATACATCATTTCATGCATAGATAAGGTGGCTTAAATGTAAAAACTAAAGTTTTTGTGTTACATATGTAATCACATAGGAATTAAGTGGTATGTATGTAAAGCTTCCTTTATTTTATTGTTCCAATATTTTACTGCGTCCTGCTTTTCTTCTTTAGCCTGGAACCCCTGCTCGGTCATATGAAGCACCGACTCCAGGATCTGGTTGGGCCAATACTCCAGGGGGTAATTACAGCGATGCTGGAACTCCCGGAGAAAGTAGCCCTACATATGGTACTACAATTTAAAAAATTAAATAGTAAATTACAAATTTTTCTTAAAACTTTTCAACATCAATTTTATCTGTTACTACAGGAAATGCGCCAAGCCCTTATCTTCCATCCACTCCAGGCATGCAACCAATGACACCTAATTCTGCCAATTATCTTCCTGGAACTCCAGGAGGGCAGCCGATGACTCCAGGAAACATTGGACTGGATATTTTGTCACCCGCAATGGGTAAGATCACAAATTTGATCCAGTAGATAATATGAAGCTAAAGTTTTTTAAATTTTCTTTTAGATTGTTTTCTGTATAATGCATAAATAAACAATTTGCATCTAAAAAGGCTCTGCACTTGGTCTAGATTTTACTGTTTTTAATGCAAGTTTTTTGAGATTAGCTCGCACACTCCTCCTTTATTTTTTTTTGTTTTAAATGTTAGTTATCCCGAGTTATCATATAGAATTTTTAATTTCTACATTTAAAGTTTTTTTTGTATGTGCCATTGATTCAGCAAATAACCGATTATAGAACATCAAAATTTGTTGCAGTAATATAGATTTGGGCATTCGACAATCTAAACAAGCATTAACTCCTTTTAAAATGGGGCATTTACATACATATCACAATTTTTATTTATACACATATCTAACACCTTGACTTTCATATTTACACTCATAGCACTCAATTCAATACACCTTTTCATGTGGAGGTTTAAACAACCAAAGTGCTATGTATGTAAATATGAAAGTTTAGGTCGGAGATATGTAAATACATGAGAATTGTGTGCTACATATGTAAATTTCCGTTTAAAAATTTGTAATAATAACTGCAGCACATGTTTGTGGCTTAATTTTTAAGTTGAATCTTATTTGGATGAAATCATACGATTGCATAGCTAAACACCTGGCATAATTTTCTTATCATTATGTAGTTCTTATGTGTCATTCAACTATGCAATAATTTTTGAAAAATACAATTGATATGATAGATATGTATTAAATAGTAGAAAATTTGCGAAGTAATTGCATTTCTCATGCAATTGATGCTAAAATACATCATGCGAGCTGACATTAATTAGCTTCTTGCATTTTCATCTTCATGCTTGGTCCCCTGAAATGTTATTTCTCAACAAATTATGCTGTTGTAGCAGGCGGTGACAATGAAGGAAATTGGTTCTTTCCTGATGTTCTTGTTAATGTCATGAGGCCAGGAGAAGGTCCCTGTATAGCAATCGTCCGGGAGGTGTTGATGGTATACAATTTTCACTTTCATTAATCTAAATTTATATTTCCCCTTATTTTATTTTTGTAGATGTAAATTAACACTTGAAATAATAATTCAAAGAAATCAATTTTATTAATAGGATGGCTCTTGTAAAGTTGCTCTTGGTTCAACCGGGGATGGGGATATAATCACCGCCCATCCGGCAGATGTGGAGGCCGTGAGGCCTAGGAAGTTTGATAAAATAAAGATAATGAATGGGGCGCTGCGCGGAATAACCGGAAAGCTTATTGGGATTGATGGCGCTGATGGTATAGTAAAGATGGATGACACGTTTGATGTTAAGATATTAGACATGAACATATTAGCAAAATTGGCTGTACAATGAAGGATTTAGGGAGAGAGATTTGATTCTTTAATGTTGGTAAGACATGAAGGTTAGCACTGTCAAGGCCATGCATGGTACTACATATTTCTCGCTGAGGGAAGGCTCGATGTGCATTGAACTTCTAGAGTATTGTTATTATAGTGCTTTCCCCTTGAAATTTTGTGTTATTGCATGTATGGCATTAGAAGAAATTTATGAAAATTTGTAAGAGTATAAATATTGTCCAAAATAAGGAAGAAGTTTGTTTTAACATTTTAAGAGGTTTGCTGAGTTACAGTGATTGCATTGTATCTAAAATTAGAAGCTCTGAATCCCAGTGATTGATGGCAATCCTAAATCTTGCTGGAGCGAAGTCTCACTTTGTACGGATGTTAAGATTGTTTTATGGTAATACAATGCCTTTAGAGGTTTAAAAATCCCAAGCTTACTTTGCTAATTACATATATGTTTTTTTTTTCAACGTCTTACAAAATTTAGATACTCGCCAATGTTTGTTTTATGGTGCTTTTATGCCTTGTCATAATTTTGCATTTGGGACAACTCTTACACAGTTATTTGGATATAGTTTTGTTGCTGTTTCTTGGAAATTTTTGTGGCTGGTTGGATTTTATAAGCTCATCTGCTATAGTGGAATTAACGAGAAATTCTTATAGTATTTTTTTTGAAAAATTTATTTTTCTTAACAATAATTTTAGTAATTGGCAGTTATTTCCCTGAAGACGAGACCTGAAGGTAGAGAATCTCTTTCTCCATAGCTTCACCATGACAAAATTTTGATATTTGAGTTTTATCACATGGACATGGTGCAAATTTTGCTTTTTTCTCAACTCCTTTAGATAAAGTTGACCTATTCATGATGTAGGATCACTTGAGGAAGAAGGAATGCTACTATACATTTGTTAAAGAAATCACAAACACCAAATCAAACATTTGGGAGTATTCAAATTTCCACAGCTTTCAATATCTTAATTCATATTATATTCATTTTTTAAAGATTTTTTCTTAACGGTTAAATGTAGACATTCTCTGAATTGTAGAATCATGTATTTAATATCATCTGAAAGTATAGCTCAACAACCAAAAACTGTAGGAAGATGGTTTAACCATATATGGTTGCAAATAAATTTTCTTATCATCATTGCTGACATTGTTGAGGATGTGAGGTCAGAAATCTGAATTAAAATTCTTAAGAACTAGAAATTAGTTATATTTATGACAGTTGTGTAATTTTTAATTTTTAAAAAAATTTTGTAGTTGTGAAACATGATACAGGAAGTTGCAGGAAGTTGGATGGTTGCATCAAACTGTGCATTAGGAACCACATTTAAATCAGTAATAATAAAGAAGCAGTTTCAGGACACAATTGATGTAGAAGAATGCTGAGTTAGTTAGTTTACTTGAAGGAAGAAACTTTGGAACTGATACTTTCCTTCTTCCCTTTTTTATTCCAGGTAGGTTTGAATATTGAATTTGTGGGATGTTTAGTTTTACCAACTCCATATTTTTATTTTATTCGTTTTTTTTTTTCTGAATTGCGTCCTTAAATAAATTATTTTTATATAAAGGATTTCTTACACTAATGAATATTTCTTATTTTTAAAATATTATTTAGTTTAACCATGCACTTAAGGAATTCTAATGGCTTATGTGTAGGTTAAACTACAACTGTTATGATAATTAATTATATTATATTATGAAAGCTCATTTAGCTGTTAATATATTTTTAAAAAGTAAATAAAATTTAATTAATTTAATTTTAATATTCAATTCTATTTTGAGAATAAAAAATAATAATCTGTAGTGATATATTGCCACCGTACCTGAAATTTATTAAATGAAAAGCGGATTTCCCAAATCCCATGACCCAAGAAATGGTTTAGCTAACCCACAACCAGCGCGAAGGGTTATATAAAAATTCTAAATCAATATCTTTAATATTCGTGCATAATAATAGTTGAACTATTAATGAAATTATATATAAAAAAAAAATTGGATTTGGGCTCTGTTTAAACTAGGTTCAATAAAATAGTTTAGATTAGTATATTATAATCCAAAATTTAATTTAAGAGGATGGGTACTATACTATAAAAAGATTATTTATAATTATCTTAAAACAAATTCAAACATTTCAAAATTAATGCCTGAAAATTTGATGTGAACATTCTACTGTGTATATATAAATAGAATAATAAAAAAAATTTCTAAATTAATGTGATAATTATTAAAAATCCAATAATCTAATATTAAGCAATATGAACACGGATTAAGGGAAATAATCACCTCATAATGTGTCAATAAAGATTTGGTGGACAGTCCCCCTTGGCCATCCCCGGCCCCACTCTCCTCTTCGTCAACCTCATTTTTATTCCTTAATTAACCTAAGCCTCCCCAACCTCTTCTCTTCTCTCTTTCTCCATAAAACAAAAAGAATAACTCACAACTTTTCTCTTAGATTTCGGACGGCAGAAATCAATCAATGGAGATCTCCTTCTGCGTCCTTAAACCATTAATCCATCACAGTCTCCTCCTTCTTCTTCTTCTCCAATGTCTGATATTATGCAGAGCAAGCTTTAACTATGGCGACGCTCTGTCAAAAAGCCTCCTTTACTTCGAAGCTCAGCGCTCTGGTCGTCTTCCCCACACCCAACGGATCAAATGGAGAGGAAACTCCGCTCTCACCGATGGCCTCCAACAAGGAGTGAGTTCATTATTTATTTCTTTCTAATTAATTAATTATATATAATTTAGTTGGTGAGTGGGGGGCCGCTTATTTTCTCCCCGCTACTACTGAGCCTGAGGTTCTCTGGGTTCAGGTATTCTATTCTCATTACCATCTCTTTGATTTTCAATTATTTATTTGTAACTCCTAACTCATCATTAATATTTTTATTTTTAATATCAATTTTAACTCGCTTTATGCAGCTTTGATTATTACAAAAAACTGCTGTAATAAAGACATGCTCATTTAAATGTCATTACCATCTCTTTGATTTTCAATTATTTATTTGAAACTCCTAATTCATCATTAATACTTTTTTTAATATCAATTTTAACTCCCTTTATGCAGCTTCGATTATTACAAGAAAACTGCTGTAATAAAGACATGCTCATTCAAATTAAACTAATATGAGTTTTAAAAATATTTGATCTCACTGCGTGTGTCTATATATATATACATATATATACACATGGAGTTAAGGGATAGGATAATCCCAACTACTTAGATGAGGTTGTTTTAGTATAAAAATGCTAAATTAGTTTAAAGACTCTTTAACTGAGGCCTTAAATCACCCTATGAATAGCTATTTATTAGAGCTCAATTTTTAAATATTTGGATAATATTTTGACATTTCTATAAACTTTGGGACTAAAACAATCGTATGTAAATATAAATAGTAGAGGACTATATCACCACTTTAATGTATACATATATAATTTGTATAATTTTTTTATTTTCACATGGGATGAAAATAATTATTATTTATAGGACATTGAAAGTTTAATGACAATATTATATAGTAAAAAAAGAAAATTACTAAATTTAAAAAATTGAACTAATGGTACATTCAATTATTTTAAAATAATTTGTATAATAAATGCGTTAAGACATACCTTTTTTTTTTTTAATATTTCTCTTTCTCACCAATAAAAAGGTTCTCATGTCGCTAATTGTGTACAGGAATAAATGGCTTTGACTTGTCATTCTCAGTTAATTCCCCATTGCTTATTCATATACGTTTCGCTCCCCCGCCTTTCAAAGCCTTTGCGTTACGACTTTGGGACCAACAACATGTTAAATAAATACAACTTTTACATGCATACCACTCAATTCTCATGTAATTGCATCTTTTTAACACCCAAAATTCAATTTTTACATGGAATCCATCTTAATGTAAAGGAGCATTTCACTTATTTTTCATGTGAATTACAAGGTTTTGAGTGGTATAAAAAGCAAAATTTAGGTGTTCTTTGTGATTTGTTTAAATATGAAAACCAAGCACTAAATAGTGTTAAAAAAAAAAAAAAACATTTCCTAAGCTCATCTATTATTTTATGCCACGTGGCAATCAAATTTCCCAAGAAACGGTGAAAATGAAATTTAAAATATTTTTATAATTTAATTTTAAGCGGAACAAAACACAGATGACCACATTCATAATAAAATTTTAGTAAACTATAAACTTACATCAGACTTTTAAAACAAGATATCCTCACCAAAAAATGTCACCATACTTTTAACTCCACCCCAATAAAAAAAATCGTACCTATTTACAGATATACCTTTCCCTATTTTAAATGCGGCCCCCCCCGGGCCGCCCGCCGCCATGGCTGCTGCTTCTCTGGTCTTTCACACTTCCAACCCCTCCTACTCCGCTCTCCTTCTACGCCATGCCCGGCAGCTCTTCCGCTTCGCCGCCCGCCGCCGAGGTCGATACCATGCCAGCGTTCCCGCGGCGAAGGGCTACTATCCTTCTGTCAGCGGCTACGGTGACGAGCTCTTGTGGGCGGCGCTCTGGCTCCGGCGAGCCACCGGCGACTCCCAATACCTGGATTATGTGGTGGACAACGCTTATGCCCTCGGTGGAGCTACCTGGTCTGTTTCTGAGTTCAGCTGGGATATTAAGTACGCCGGAGTTCAGATTCTGGCTGCTAAGGTCAGCTCTTTTTCAAATATCAATCAATCGATCGATCAATCAACCATTTTTCTCTGCAATTAAACTTGTAAACACAAACAGGTTCTGATGGAGGAAGGCGCAGCAGAGCTGAGCTCTCATCAGCGTCGGATACTCGAAGAATACAAGTCCAAGGGGGAGCATTACCTGTGCGCCTGCCTCAATCTCCACCGCCCCGATAAAAAGAACAACAATGTCCGGCCACCCTCCCGCCGGACTCTTCTACACCCGCCAATGGAACAATCTTCAATACGTCTCCACCGCCGCCTTCATTCTCGCCGCCTACTCCGACTACCTCGACGTCGCCGGAATTCCTCTCCGGTGCCCCGCCGCCGGAGAAGTCCCTCCGGCCGTCCTCCTCTCCTTCGCCCGCTCTCAGGCCGACTACATCCTCGGAAATAACCCCCACGGTCTTAGCTACCTCGTCGGCTTCGGCGATCGGTATCCGAGCCGCGTACATCACCGGGCCGCATCCGCCGACGGAGGAGGCGGGGGAGGAGAGTTCGTAGGATGTACGGAAGGTTACCACCGGTGGTTCGGGAGGAACCGGAGGAACCCGCACGTGGTGGTGGGGGCGGTGGTTGGGGGACCGGATTCGGCCGACGGGTTTAGGGATGCACGGAGCAATTTTGTACAGACGGAGGCTTGCACGTACAATACAGCCCCGATGGTTGGCGTTTTTGCAAGATTGATTAGGGACACCAACTCAACATTTTTTTCAATATGAATTTTTTTTTATAATGTTTTTAGGGGCATTTACATTATTTCATACATACCCACACGATTTTTAATGTCTTTACATATATAACCTTTTAAACTTTGTTTTTTGTTTAACATTTACACGACTTTAATCTTTCATACCAAATCAAGAATATCAACATGTTAACTACTAATAATAGAGGCAGCCATGGTGGTATACACGTAAATGTTGGAAGTTTAGGGGTGAGATGATCAGCAAATGCATAAGATTTGAGTGGTAAGTATGCAAACCTTCCTATGTTTTATTATAAACAAATGCAATCATTCATAGAAATCACTTTATGTTTTATATTTATAAAGTAATACCTTAATAAATACATGGCAATGAGTAATAAATCTATGAATAATTATTATTTTTTAGTTGTGTGGATATTTTAGTTCTATTTGAACAGATCAATATAATATTGATTGATATTCTCATTGAGTAGAAATTGCCATTCAATCAATAATCGAAGTAAGAAAAAGTTGATTGGTCGGTGTGTACTTCTCACCTGTTTTCTTCCACTAAAGCTGGCAGCACGAATATTCAAGTGGTTGACATTCTTATTTGTTTAAAATTAGGGTTCGAGTTGCTCTAATTAATTGATGCTTTTGTTGAACCCAAACTCTCTTACAAAGGAAAAAAAATATTAGGTCAGGACTCCGGATGTATTCGCAGTCCGATGATGAGGCGTCAAGTGTTAAGTGGGCCCCACAAATTTTAACATTGACCAATCCCAATATATTACGGTGGACCTACTTATGTAATATTTAAACAGTAAAAGATGGGTCTTGACAAGTGATTCTCCAATGCATTGCAATCATCATGAAACAAAAGGCAGTCGCAACACATTCATTCTATTAAAAGCGCATCGGACAAGTCCTCCTTTCATACAAAGAAAGCCACACCCAAGTAACCTGAATAACGTCTCCTCCTCTACTATTAATTAAAGCAGTTCCAAACAATTATAAAGGGGACATTCAACTGATGAAGTAAACAATACACAGAGAGACTGTCAATAAGAGTTGATTCCGGAGAAGCATAAAACAAAATGGTGAGGTGAGATGTAGGAAGACTAGAAGACTACCGTATCAAGCATAGTACCGAGGGTCTGGACTATATTGGAGGACATTAGATTGGAGACATGCTCCTCCAAATGCTTCTTTGCATCTTGCCTGCCCACGTTCGCAATGGCCAATTTCTCCGGCGGCAGTTCATCCTCCTCTTGGACCGCTTTGTTATATTTTATAGCTAAGTTTAGCATCTCCTGCTCCTCAGTAAATAATATAGCAACAGGGAAAAAAAATTAAAAATGGAAACCATGCATCCGTTATATTTATATATTTGGTTGGGTTCAGAAGAAGAAGAAGATGACAATCCTATTGGACTGACCGATGTTGCTTGATTACCTGCACCGTTTGCTCATTGGTTTTTGAATGGGCATCAAATCGTCTCAACGTTAAGCCATCCGTCCATTTCTTCTTATGCAGATTCAGAAGCATTTTTTCTTCCAGCTCATTTTTCCGATAATTGATGGCTATAGAGTAATAGTGCCGGTTCAGCCCATGTATGAGTGCCTGACAATCAATGCAATATTTAGATGATTAATTAAGATGGCAAATAATAATTGTGAAGTGAGGTAGGTGTGAGACCTGGATGGAGGGTTTGTTGAGATGTCCCAAGTTGGAAGTGGTCTGGCGAGGCTCTTGCCCGAGTGTCATGGTCTGCGGGTTGATCAAACGGAAAGCATCGATCACCACCTTCCCTTTAACACTCTGGATGGGGTCGACCACAACAGCAACAGCTCTCGGATTCAAGGCTTCAAAGCTCTGCTGGGTGTTAATATCAACGCCAGACAGCCAACAACCAAATCCTGGATGGGAATGGTACCAACCTACCACCATTTCAGGCCTGCCAATAACATCATAAATAAAAATTCTAGTCATATATATCTCAAGATGGAAATAAGTCCCCTGAAACTGAAATTTAATTTACAGCATAAAAAGAAAATTCAAGGAAAGCCGTGTAAGGATATGATGAAACTTCAATAATTTTAAGAATGAACTACTAAAGCTGAATTGTACGGTTGGTCAACTAATTAAAACGCCGAGACAATTAACATTGTAATTGATAAAAAGACAAATCATGCTAAAATTCAATTGAAACACTCGATAACATTACTCAAATCTATACAAGGAAATAATCATACAATCAAATTATGGTTGGACGAGCCAACAAATTTCCAGGATTAAGAGAGTGAACTAGAAAGAAAGAACCTAATCAATTTTCATTTCATCAACATCACCATGGACAATACACTAATTTTATCTTTACCTGTTTTAAGCTGTCTTCACAAATCTTATTCAATTCTTTCCACTAGTATACAACGGTGTTAACTCCATATATCGTAAGCAAATTGGGCAACTTATATCAATAATAAGACTCATTCTTTCTCATTATTATTTCCCTATACGACACCTTATTAGTCATCTCCATTATTCAAACTTTAAAAGTTTGTTTTCTATAAAGCAGTCCGCGGAATACATGATACCCCTACTGTTCCAAATAAAACAAACTAAGACACTTTGAAATGAAGTCATTCTGTGCACAATCATACATAATTTTACAAAAAATTCATCTCAAGTGTCTCATTAATTCCACGCATCCCCACAAATTGATACAGCAAAGCCAATCTTCAGATCAAAATAATTGGTCGATTTACTTGGCTTGAGCATAGCTCAAGTAGAATTTAGTAAAAAATAAAAAAAACTATTATAATCCTTTTTCGAAATAAAGAAGCATAATCAAGCACAAAACTCCCACCAATGTCAAATCTAAGAGTTTGAAGCACACAATCTTAACCCAACATTATTGAGAGAGTATTTTAATGACTTGACACTCAAAGTGCTTCTGATTACTATAGAACCATTTTCTAGGCTTAAAAAATAAAAAAACTATTATAATCCTTTTTCGAAATAAAGAAGCATAACCAAGCACAAAACTCCTGCCAATGTCAAATCTAAGAGTTTGAAGCACACAATCTTAACCCAACATTATTGAGAGAGTATTTTAATGACTTGACACTCAAAGTGCTTCTGATTACTATAGAACCATTTTCTAGGCTTACAACAAGGCAAGGCAAAAACATCTTGAGCATGAAAAGAGAGGCAGCATATGACTCACAGGTCTTAATATCGCCACAAGCATTATTTATGCAATGCCTAAGAGGCTTATGCTATGAGTTACTACTCATTTTTTTCTTCTTAAAAGAATAGAAAATAAGACTCAATATAAAATATCATGGTTTAAAAAGGCGTTTAAGGCACATGCCTTGAGGCACACTTCACCATGAGGCGCCTAACAATTGTCTCTAGGCGTACAATTTTATGTACGAGTAAGGCTTGCATCTTTTTAACTAAGGCACACACCTCAAGGCATTAAAAAAAGATCTTTCAAGTTATGTCTGATTTAAAATTTTTGGTTATATGCATAAAAAAAAAGAAACAATAGAGAGGAGGTTGCGCATTGACAAAGTGGTGGGTGATTTGCAAGCGACAAAAAGCTCACAAGAGGGTTGAGGCTGCAACCGAATGTTTAACTACATAAGGTTGATGTAAGATAAAAGATCACTACAGTTGTGCAAGATTTTATTTTTTCCTTTCCAAAAAAATAACAAACTAATCCCTTGCAACAGTTTCTTTACTTTAAACATATTTTATTAACATTTTTTATTAAAGTAGTTTTCTATTAAATAATTGTTTATTTTCTTTTTATTTTCCTAAAACTTGTAACTTACTACTAATTTGTTTTTACATCTTTGTCCTTAATATAATTTTTTAGTTTTTTTAATGTAAACCTTTTCATTCTTTTTAACTAACTTTTTCATATTTTTAACTTCTTTCATTTTCATTTTTCTTGCTTCATTTTTGTTTCTTCAAATATTTCTTCTTTCATTTTCTTTCTAAATGTTTTTTGTTTTATTTTTACAAATTTCTCTTTTAATTTTCTTTTAATTGGGTTCAGTCCTTTTAAGTGTTTAGATTTTATTTTTCTTTTAATTAATTTTATTTCTTTTCATTGATTTTTTTTGTCTGCTTATCAGATTTTTTAAATACTATTATTATTGCCAGTTTATTATAAAAGCCATTTATGCTAAAAGAGAAGTTTCAGCTAGAAATCTGACAATCACATCAAAGTATTGGAAGAAGGTGCAAAAAAGGGCTATCTCTATTTAAATTGTAAATTTTGTGATAAAAGAACCACTAATATTGTTAAAAGTTTGAAAGGCCACTTAGCTTGCACACACCTTAGAGCATGTGAGAAATTGTCAAATTATGTTAAAAAAGTGTTTAGAATTATTAAAAAAAAAAAAAAAACTCTCAAGACACCTCCCAATTTTAACCATCAAGCCTCACCTCTAGAAGTTATATACAAATCAATATACTAATTCTTTTGTATAACAATTACAAGGCACTTAAGCTTATCGCACCAAAATAGCACTTATTTTCTATTATATTGATTGACAATTATAACATCATATCCATAAAATTGCAATATAAAAAAAAAGCCATTATTCTACAAATTCTAAGTAAATATCTTTTAAAAATTTATCAATTATCTCAACTTACTACCACTTTTAGTACATACTACATCAAATACAACTACGTCAAATGTAACAAACGAAAACCAAGGAATTTCAATTCAATAATCATTTGTGGCTCTCTCCACAACCAATACAAACAATCATGGCTTAAACATGAACCTAAATGTACTCCCGATGTAACAATAAACTCTTTGGTCACTTTGAAACTACATCAAATAGTAGTCAACATTCTATCACTCATATCTTCAATCATTTTAGCATATCTTTGTCACTCACATTTCTCATTAATGCAGACTACATAAATTATTGTAATACCCGCTCAAATGCCTTCTTAAGGTTGACAAAAATATATGAAGACCATTTCACTGCACATTTTTTATCAAATTTCTTAACACAAGTCACTGGCATGACATCTTTTTAGCATGAAACCAATTTGATTATTCAAAATTGCGGAAATTTTCTATGTTTGATTGAAAATTTTGAATTTCTTATAATAAGCAGTCTTAAACACCTATTATATCCTTAAATGTTAGTGCAAAAATACTTCTTCTTTTTCTTCTTCAATAACTTAGCATCCTACCAGTCTCCAAATTTTATTGAAAATGTCTTAAACAAACCATTATGACATTCTATAAAGCTCTTCAAACTAGGATAGTTATCACTTTGAACCTAAAGCCACATGTTTATGTTGCTTCTTCTTCCTTATTTTTTTTGGTCGATCAATTTATAACAGAGGTCATTATTTTGTTTATTACGGGCTTCTAAAATATTCATCTTGAGAACTTTCATTTAATTTATTTTCATATTAGAATTTTTATTTTTTCTTAATAACCTAATTTTCAACTTATATCATATTATTTTCTACTCTAAGGCATCTAGCCTGCTCATAGTCTTTAGATCTCTTATTTTTTGGCTTAGGTATTTTTCATAACTCTTTCCTTCTCCCTTAATATTAAAGATATTATATAAGTAATCAAAACTTATAGCCTCTGCTTTGTTAGCATTTCCCCTTTATAAGACTTCTAACTTTTTTATAATTTTATCCATCGTTAGTATCCAACTTTTGCCATTCTTTAAAACACATATTTTATTTAACAACCCCTTACACCACCATAGTCTATTAAGTACTAGTTACTATCATTACTAAAGTACGATCCATTTAAAAAGCAACCAAAAGCTTCTACACCAATCTTCTTAATTGAACAAGCTATTGTAAGCTACATTGCATTTGGCTCAGCTAAATAATTCCAATTTACCACTTCTAACAGCCTATCATAAGAGACAAATTCTCAACTTTCAAATTCAACAAGCTCATCTTAGAGAAATTAGTTATATTGATAACTTTTTATGCTCTAAGGTCTACTCAGTGATGCATGATCAAACTCTTATTTGAAATCAGCTTGCAAATGTTGCTAACAAAGAATCTTTTTTTTTAAATAAAAAGATGGCCATTTTCTTTTATCTCATAAATGAAAAACTATGAGAGGTGCAAGTAAATAGTTACGAAACTACCATCTTTTACCCAATGAAGATCATTTAAATTTTATAATTTTGTATCGCAGAAGGAACAAAAACTGCAGGAAGGAAGGGGCAATGATGGCAAGCGGTTCAAACCTTCCGGTCTGCTTTAGCATATCGAGCATGTTGGTCTGGAAGACGTGATCGACGGCCTCAACACTGACTCCAGTGCCGCTCTGAGGCATGGCGAAGACATCGACCACTCGAACGGTATATTCATCCACGAATTCTCCGAGCATAAGCCCCATCACCTCCATGGGCACCCCCGCCCTGCCTAAAACAGCGAAACAGGAAGGGAAGGGTAATTAGATCCACAGATTAATCCAAGATCCTACCGATCAATGTTTGGCAGATGAATTAAATCGAATTACCGCTAAATCGTCTTACCATGCTTAAGCATCTTGAGAAGAGCAAGCGATGAGATGTAGACCTGCTCGGATGAGTCGAGGAGCGGAGAATCGGTGGGCGGATGACCCATCGCTCCAGCGCCAGAGAAAATGCGGTGAAGCCTTTCCATTATGAATAAAACTCTATCTCTATCCCTCTATTTCGGTATCGATGAGTCGACTCCGGCGAGCTAGGGTTCCAGAATTGGAAATGCTGCGAAGCGGGAGAGAAGACTGATCGGTTTATGGAAAACTGGAAGCGGTCGGGTAGAGGTAAAGTGAACCAAACCCGACTCTTGGGTCAGGCGGGCTCAACTCGATAAGGACTCCGTGAATTGAGCCCATCAAGCTCAAACCAGCCCAAGTTGACTCATTTGCTCCTGAGCCGACTTCTTTAAAAAATATTTACGATTATTATATATACATACGACACTTAAAATACATGCTTTAATTGTTTTTTAATGGGTCATTGGGCCAAAAAGTATTTGAGGTAGGCTACAGAAATTACACCGATTAGGACGTTTCAGAACCAGTTTCTTCTGCGTAAAGTTGGTCGGATAACACTAACTCTTTGCACTAGTCGGACTAATAACTGTACAACTTCAGATGCACCGATTAGGACGTTTCAGAACCAGTTTCTTCTGCAATCAGGTAAAGTTGGTCGGATAACACTAACTCTTTGCACCAGTCGGACTAATAACTGTACAACTTCAGATATTGGAGGTCATAATTCTGGTTCTGGCCACATTAACCATGGAAAGTTCTTATGTTTTAGATAAGCGAGGCTTCACAGCATTTGAAGAAGCCATAAATCATAATATTACGGGGCATTCACATGCAAACCACCCAATTCTTATGTATTTACATATCTATTCAAAATGTTTTACAAAAAAACTAACACAAGTTTTCTCTCTAAACACAAAGAAAACTTACAGGACTCGCTTCACAATCTTTTCTCTTCGATTCGATGGAAGAATCATGCCCAATCATTAAAGTCCACCTCTTCGACACTTCTCATTTTCCCTGGGATACTCGTCGAAGGATACAAAAGGAATAAACACCAAACCCCTTATGAAACCTACTTGAAATCGAAATTAAAAACTAAAATCCCAAGACTGCTCTTGGCGCTTAGGTGCCCATGCTTGGGGCCTCAGCGCCAAGCTCTCAGGATGCAACATCGCGCAATGCTCAACTTAGTTGCTTAGGCTCCCAAAGGTGGCTTCTCCACGCCATCTTCATCGCACCCAACACAAAGTGGGACACTTAGGCACCAAATGGCTAGCGCATAGGTATCGACCTCATTCTTTTCGGGCGACGCTTATGTGTCACGTGCACTGTACACATGTAGGTGTTTTGGCTCCACTCTATATAACAATCTCCCACTTGAAGACAACATCATCGAGCACCGGTCCCATGTACTTATACCTCCATCTGAATCGCCTTTATAGTCTAGTACTGTGGTGTGGCTCATCCTAGGTCTTAATCTTCTTGAAGTCCAATTGAAGCCAAGCATTGCTCCGGTTTTTCAATAGTCAATACCTTCGTCAACATATTCACAAGATTCTCAACTGTGTATATCTTTTCCGAAAATAGCAGCCCATCTTCTAAAAGAGATCAAATGAAATGATACATAAGCTAGATGTGTTTTCTCCTGACATGAACAACAACGTTCTTATCAAAATAAATTGCACACATACTTTTCACGGTAGAGTTCTCCAATCCTCTGCACCTTGCCCAATTCGGCCACGAAATTCTGTAGCCAAACCATCTCCTTGCCATCATCAGTAATAACAACATATTCGGCCTCTGTAGTTGAAAAGACAACGATCTTCTGCAACATGGAAACCCAACTCACCACCGTGCTCCTCAATATAAGGATATATCTCGTTGAACTTCTCCTACTATCATATCTCCTGCTAAATCTGAATCTACAAAATCCTGTAGACTGATCCTTACACTTCCATAGCAAAGTGCCCTATGAATTTCTCCCCTTAAATACTTGTGAATTCATTTTACCGCCTCCCAATGATGCCTGTCTGGATTGTCCATGTACCTGCTGACCACTCCCGTTGTATATGCAATATCTAGCCTGGTAAATATCATTGCATACATCAAACTTGTAACTGTTGAAGCACACCGAGTTCTCTCTATCTGTGCTTGCTTTGCTTTAAAGTTAGGCGATAGCTTCTTAGATAGTTTGAAGTGATTACCTAACATAGTGCTAACTGGTTTTGCCTCACTCATGTTGAACCTCTATAGGATCTTCTCAACATACTCTCTCTAAGACAACTTCAGTGTTCCTGCACTCCTGTCCTAGTTGATTCCCATCCCGAGTAACTTCTAGGTTGAACCTAAATCATCCATATTAAACTCACTTGATAATTATTTCTTCAAATCCCTGATTTTCTCCATATCCTCTTTTACAATCAACATGCCATCCACATACAATAGAAGTATGATATAACACTTAACAAAGCGTTTGATGAAGCAATAGTGGTCCGCCAAACACTTCAAATACCCATTTTCTGGCATAAACCTATCAAACCTTCTGTAGCACTGTCTTGGGGCGGACTTCAACCCATAGATGCTCTTCTTCAATCTACAGACCAAACTTTTTTTGCTTGGAACTTTGCAACCTTGTGGTTGCACCATGTATAACTCATCCAGATCTCCATGTAAGAAAGCTCTTTTTACATTCATTTGCTCCAGAGATATTCTTCTGCTACCAGACTCAACACAACTGTAACAATCATTATCTTCATATCTAGGGACGAAATCTCTGTATAATCCACCCATTTCTTTTGCTGGAAACATTTCACATCAAGTCTTGCCTTGTAGCGCTAGCTACCATTTGACTCCTCTTTCAGCTTGTAGACTTACTAGTTGTGTAGTACTCTTTTGCCATATGATAGTATCATTAATTTTTTTGTCATTATGTAATTACAAAAAAAGCAACCGCAGTGGAGCCAGGACTAGTGGAGAAAATTAAAATGTGGGGGGACCGTGTGTGCTTGCAATTACCAGCATTCTTTGGACCCTTCTTTAAAACATGCACACGTCGCTTTTAATATTTGACTTTATTTAATTTGGTGGTAATGCATTTATTGTTTTGTTTTCTAATGAATTGGAATTCTATTAGATTTTTTTAATTCTTAATCAGGTCATTTAATAATATTTTCACATAATTTTTTTTTTTCTCATAAAATATTGTTATGTAAAAATTGAATAGCATTAATATTATTGATAAGTTAACTTTGGGCTTATGTTACTCCAATTTAGCATCGATTCAAAATCATCTTTCAACTCCCAACTTAGAGGCCAAGAAATAAATAATATTGTTAGTATAAATATATAAATTTATATAAAATAATAATTTTTTTAATTAAAAAATAATTTCCCGTCACATAAATATCTTAAAAATAGCAAAATAATAGCAATAATGAGTCAAAATTACTTGAAAAACAAAGTAACGATGAAACTAACCCTGAAAGGTCCCTAAATCTGCATCCATACAATTTTACATTATATAAACAAATAGTAGAGTAAAACATTAATCCATAAATTAAATGTTTACATCCTAAGTGACGACATTCTAATCATAGTAAAACCCTAAATTTTTTTATGCTAAGTATGCTTGGGGTTCCAAGTTACATCTTACATTCATTTGTTCTCATTAGTCACTATGGTATTCAACAGTTCCATCATACAAATAATTTAGGGGCATTTCAGATGAAACTGTTAGAGGTTAGGACTAATATGTCTTCTTTTAAACCCCAAATTATTTGAAAAATCGTGAGAAGGGTAAGTGTACCCCATTTTTTTTTTCTTCGTACTAAACCCAAACAAAACGACTCTTTCATAGGAATAAAAAAGCAAAAAAAATTTTTCCATACGAAGTGCGAACGCAGCTCTGCCTGTTGACTCCAGTAATATGCCACCACGTGTACTACACTAGACCCTCTCATAAACACTGCACGGTTTCGCTTCAATAACCCTCGCTGAATAACTCCAATAAGTCCCAATAACACAATAATAACCCTTCAATAATACCACACGAAGAACAAATCCAATAACGCCACAGTCTCGTTTCAATAACCCTCACAGAACAATTCCAATAACCGCTTTAATAATGCCACGATAACCTCCCCAATAACACCGTGCGGTAAACCACATCAACAAGCCCGCAATTATCCCATAAATCAGCTTTAATAACCCACCAATAATGCCGCAATAACCTCCCATTAATCAGACGAAGAATTATTGCAGCGTTATTGAGGACTTATTAGCGTTATTTTGTGGGGGTTATTGAAGTGAAACCGTAGAAGTTATTGGAACGATTCACCGCACGGTGTTTATGAGGTAAAACCGGTATAACACACGTGGCGGCATATTACTAGAGTTCGCATGCAGAGTTATGTCCGCACTCCGTAGGGAAAAAATTCTCAAAAAGAAGACGATGCAAACTATTTACCATCTCCATAACAAATTTTAGTTAATACAAGGAAAATTTAGCCACATTAAAGCTAGCCGAAATTAAAACTATGATCCTAAAACTTCGAAAATTTATATTACAAATGCTCTACAATTATGTCTGCATCGGTACATATTGGAACCACATGATCAATGGATTGAAATAGTTAACTCTGTTCTTTGTAAGGAATCCAAATCAACTTGCTGACATCAACCTCTAAGCCTCCACGGCCGGCGGCCTTCAGGTGGCGGTCGAGGACCTTTGGGTCGGCGCAAATCACGTGCTGTCCCTTCCTGTACTGTATCAACTCCAGGCTCTGAAGAGTGCTCAATATGTCATCTACTTTTATAGCAGTCATATCACTTAGCTCCTGCAAGTTAATTGAAATTTATCCTACTGATTTCGGTTCAAGCAAATATGTCTTGAAGAAAATAAGACAACACACACACACGCACACAAAAGATTAGGAAAAGATATCATATTTATAATAATTAAACATGATATCTTGAAAAACCATCATATTAACAAATTGATGAAGATGATAGTCTAGTAATTCAAAAATAGAAATTGCCCAAGTGGAACAGATGAACAAAAGCCTTATACTAAGAACCCCTCAGTATACAGCTATGAAACATTCAGAAGTAACAGGAGCGAAGAAATTTTGCCAAATATTTCTCATTAATTTGATCAATATAAACTTTCTGATCATTAAATTTGTCCTGAGAAGCACAATATATAACTAAAAGACCAAACTTTACATCGCATTCATCTTAAATCAAATTTAATTTTTTTGATCAAATTTGAATCAAAATATCTCAGGTGATGGCATTCTACATTCTAATCATGGCAAGCAAATAAAAAAAAAAAAAACTTATATTCATTTTAATTTTTGTTTTCATACTAGAATCATACAAGCCTAGTCTTTGATAATAACAAACAGGAGACAAATTTGAAACCCCTTAGAGGAACTTGAACTCTTAAACATCGAGACACCTTCTTGTGTAATAGTCGAATTTCAATAGAAACGTCAAAGTTAAGTATGCTCCACCTGGAGCACTTCTAGAATGGGCTATCTCCTGAGAAGTTATACCAACAGAGCAAAATCATAAGGCCAATAGGCCAAAGCGGACAATACCTTTGATGGGTGAGAGTTCAAGCTATCACAAAAAATGCAACCATCTCCATACAACTAATAGTACAATCAATTTGACAGCTCCGTAATAAAATTTTATTCAAGGAAAATTTAACCACATTAAAGCTAGCTACTTTCTTGGAAGTAAGCGGAGCAAGGAAATACATTGCCTTGCCAATCTCGGGAAACATGACAGTAGAAAATATTAATGTTGAAGCTATGGAGCATCCGAATGAAAGCAACATAATCATCTGTCATTTGAAAAACTTAAAAATATAATCATGCTCTGAGAGAGATGCATCCGGATCAGAGAATATGTTTCATGAACAACGAAATGAAAATAATGAGTTCTCACATGATGGGAACACGAGTGATCTGACAAACAAATTAATAAGGATTACAAACAAATTAATAAGGACCACTCGTCATAGTAAGACACATTTCCTGCAACAATAACAACAACAACAACAAAACCTTTATCCCACTAATTGGGGTCGGCTATATGAATCTTTTTTCATGAATCCTTTTCCTCCATTGTGTCCTATTTAGTGTCATATTTTCATTTAATTCTAGTAAATTAAGATTATGTTTTATACAATATGCCCAAGTCTTCCAAGGTCTACCTCTGTCTTTCTAACCTTTCTTAACATAAGACGAATCTAAAACATCTACTCTTCTAATTGAATCATGATGGTCGACGTTTAATGTAACCAAACCATCTAAGACGACTCTCTCTAATTTTGTCCATCACTGAAGCTACACCAACCCTATCACAGATATATTCATTTCGCATTGTCTCAAAGTGTAAAGTCACTCATCCACCTAATCATTCTTATCTCGGCAACACTTAACTTAGTTTTATGCTTCTCTTTTAAAGGCCAACATTCAACGCCATAAAGCATTGCAGGTCTCACCACTATCTTATAAAATTTTCCTTTCAGTCTATGCAATACTTTTCTATCACACAATATGCCAAGCATTCTTCCACTTCAATCAACCAACTTGAATTCTACTAATAACATCCCCATCAATATAACCATCACTTTGAATAATAGACCTGAGATATGTAAAGCATTCACATCATTTAATAATTTGATCACCCATAGTTACATTTCTGACACTAGAACTACTACCACTAAAATTACATTCCATGTATTCAATTTTAGTTCTACTCAAACAAAAGTTTTTAAACTCCAAGGTAGACCTCCATAATAGACCTCCATAATTCACTTTTTCTCTCGTCTTATCCACAAGAAGGATATCATTAGCAAAAAGCATACACCAAGGTACATCCTCATGTAAATGTCCAGTAAGACAATCCATAACTAAAGCAAAAAGATACGGGCTTAAAGTCAATCCCTGATGTAATCCAACAGAAATAGGAAAATATTTGGTCAAATTTGGTCAATCCACCTTCTGCTCGCACACAAGTCACAGATCTTGCATATATATCTTTAATGACTTGAATATAAGTCATATCAACACTGTTCTTCTCAAGAACTCTCCAAAGGATATCTTATGGAACCTTATCGTAAGCTTTTTCTAAATTAATAAAAATCATATGTAGATCCTCCTTATTATCTTTGAACTTCTCCATCAAACCACTCAATAAATGCACAGTCTTCAAATTAATCAAATCAAATAAAGCCGTAGTGTGCGATGGGTTTAAAGAAATGAGAGGGAATGTAAATATATTTACTCGACATGAAAAGGCGTTTAATTTCAATGTAATTAAAAGGTAATCTGATTTACTTCAGAAATGTGAACAAATGTTTTTTTTTTATTATTTAAAATGACCTACTCTCAACCCTCCAATATAACATAAAGAAAATTTTAGCATGTCACCATTATGACTCACATGCCGCTCCTCACAATTAACAAACAATTCCTCATCAGCCAAACAAGAAAGAAAAAAAGTATTTTCCCACTCAAATTTTCCTCAACCAAATAATTGGGCTAAAACTAATTTTAGATCAATTTGTTTTCAATTTCAATAGCATTCTTCTTCATTTCAATTTTCAATTCCTTTGAATGAAACGGAGCCTTAAACTACTATGGTTTTACCACCGTTCAAATGAAAAAAAAAAAGGTGAAATTAACAGAAGAGAGAACAAAGAAACTAACTTTAATTGAGATATTCCCTTTGTGCTTCTTGAGAATGTCTAAAAGAACCCTGGTCCAGTATCCTCTGTAGCTTAACAGCCCAAGATCTGAAAGAGGACGCTCTGGAGTACCGACTTTACCCTCCTTCTTTGAAAGTTCATAAGCTTAATAGAATAAATACCAATTAAATACACTTCAAAGATGTACATGCAATAAAAAGAAAAAAAAATCTACAGAATATTTCTGTTTTAAATTCTGTTAACAAGTGCATATTTAAAGGGCTTTAAAATATAAATTCATCTATTCAGGTAAGTGAGCAACTGGTAGGAACAATTATAAAATCTGATAAGCTTAAATCGCTTCTTAACGAAATAGATGAAATCAGAGCATGAATCTGAGCAGAGAGATTACAGAAGGCGATTAGAAATTTCCCGTAGCCTTTTCTCTGATATGGAGGAAGAGTGAGAATGCAAGCCAAATTGTACGATTCCTCTGAGTGTTTTTCCTGTGTCATAAAAAATAAAACACATTTATAATCTGCGAAATAAAATTGAATCACAGGCTTGCCTGGTGAAGAAACAACACATCCAAAAGAAGAAAATTATCATTTATTAGATATTTTATTTCCTTTCAATCGCTCCAGCAGCTTTTACATAATTCTTATATAATCAAACCATGACTCAGCTTCAGAATAAGATTATCATACTTGAAAATCACAATCAAAGAGTAAGCCCGGAACACAATAGGGAAAGCAAGTATTATTACTCAAAATCAAATAGGGTTACAATCAAACACTCTTAAAAGAGAAATACTACAACAGACACAAACAAACTCAACTAAAGCGTATCACAAAAGTGGTGACCAGTGAAAGAAGTTGTTAGTTGGACGTGGGTGCTACCGGGAAGGGAAAGGGGTGCCGGTCGGTGGCCGGGAGAAGGTTCGGGGCTGCGGACTGCAATGGGGAGGTTGTAGGTGGCTGGGACAGAGATTAAGTGGCAGGAAACTGGTTTGGCAAAGCTGGAACAGCAACTATGACGCGGAGGAAGGGACTCCGGGAGGCTGGGACAGCGGAGAGGTGGCAGGAGAAGGGTTGTCTGGGTACTGGAAGGCGGCGGTGAGGGATGGCAGCAAAGTGGGAGGGAGCTAAGTGGTACGCGGTTGTAGGAAAACAACGAGGAAGTTATTTTCCGGGTGATTGCAGCGAATGCGGTGATGGTGGTGGCAGAGAAAAGATTACGGATGAGTGAAAGGGTCGAGAATAATCACCACCTCGGACGAGATACAATTGGAGCATCACTTGTAGTTGGATATGGCCCTAGAATGGAAAACCTGGACGACGATGGCTATCCTGACAGAAAAAACGAAAAAACTGAAAACCTAAAACACCGGAATAACATATATAAGCTCTAGATAATTAGGATTGCATCCCCCTATGGAAAGAAGACACCAATCCCTCATGGGAGAGCCGATCGGTGGCCCTCCCAGGTCTGTACCGGTTCAGTCTAGACGAAGGACATTGCGGGAGAAGCCCGCTGCTCTAAACAAAGGGCATCGCAGGAGAAGCTCACGGCTCCCTTCTACGCTGCGCCTACAACATTATTGGCATGCCCGCATCGTTATTGGCGCACCCGCGTCACAAAGACCAAAAGAATCTGACTTCTAAAAACATAAGGAACCAAGCAATTTAAAAAAACTGTTAAACATTATTGAAACATATTGAGGGGAAAAAAATGAAAATTAGTCGGCAAAGGTTATAGTCTATTATCAGCAAACAGCAGACCATAAGTTCAGTTATGAAATTATAGAAGCAACATGTTGCTTCGCAAAAATACAGTATAAGAAAATACCAAATTTTAAAAATCAAGGATGCAAGACGTTATAGCATGAAGCTGATGAATAACAATGAGAAAATAATATCTGAGCATCATTTATGTTTTATCAACAAAAGTTAGCAACTGGACTCAGTATCAGTGACACGTGAATATGATTTAGCCTACAAACAATAATGCAAAAATCTAACTAGACAAAATGACCATAGTGGAAAACATGTACGATGATGAATCATGTCACATTCAAAAAACATTATCATAAATCATAAAAATAATAATCTGCATAAAACATACAGTGAAAAGGTAGAAAAATACTACAAACTGAAATAAAAAAGAAATACAACGCGCAATACCTTAGAGAAATATCCAACCATGTGGCATCCGCGATCGTCACATTCACAAAGAATATAGAATAGAAACAAGTCAACATCATAATAAAGTGTTTTGTGATCGAGAAATAGTTTTGCCAAGTAGCACAAATTTTGCGCATAAACCTTGTTCTTCTTGCCATCAACCTGTTTGAATCATTCATTATCAAAAATGACAAATCATGATGAACAAGCCAAATTAACAATAAATAATGATGTAAAGAAAACCAAAACAGGATTAGAAAATCTTCTAGGCGCTAATTGCAATTAAATACTAATACAAAGAGGATTACTTCAAACATGGATAACGTGCCACAGCGGTAGATCTCATCTCCTGGAGGATGCTTGAGGTCACATTTTCTCTGCATTTTAAAGGAAAGACTAATAATTGATAGGAGAAACTAAATAAGATATCAACGGATTATTAGAAATATTAGGCACCTAAAAAACCATTGTTACTGAACAAGAAACCTCAAACGCCACCACGTGAGATAAAAATGGGTAACCTCTCAAGCTATGTGAGGCATACGAATTGATAGTGGCATTTAATTACAAATGCAGTAAACAAAAAACTAACATTTTATATAAACCTCCCATGCTACATAGCTTTATTAAAATAGTTTTAAGAAATTGAGCAGCTCACATAGCGGTTGGGTGCTTTGTTAGCAATAATATCTTGAGTTCAAGTCCTAGTACACACGTGGCTGTGATTAAGTTAAAAAAAAAACTCTAACATTTTGTGGGAATAATGCGCAGTCAAATATAAAATTTGTTTACCGCTGAGCATCAAGTTTTATAGAACAAGCTGCGGAAAATAAAAAAAGGGATACCATAGCTTTTATTTGCATAAGCACTGAGCAGAAAATAGAATGTTGCGTGTGCAGCCACACAAAAATCCCTAAAATCTTCAAGTTGAAGGATAAATAGAAATGCATAAACTCAACAAGTAGTATCTAGCAGTGTTATGAAAGCGTAAAGCACAATAAGCACAATGCGATGCACAACACTCACCTTTTTTTTTTTTGCTTCAAAGCACAAAACATAAAGCGAAGCGGCACTTTTATTAACTAAAGTGCTAATAGTAGGTTATATAAAACTATCAATGTATAAGTACCTTCATTAACAATTATAAAATATAAAGTATGAATTAGAAGTTGATATAAAAGATAAAAGAATGCGGCGCAATAGCTAACTTGTAGGTAAATATTGAGGGTGAACCTACAGATTAAATATTTGAACAATTTCTACTTTACTACAATAAGTAACAACATAAAAATTGTAAAAAAAAGCTTACTACAAAACACAAAATCAAAATTTTAAAACATAAATAAACCAATAAAGTCTCAAGTTTCATATACAAACTAAATTAATTCAATAACCCTTTATTCACTTTCGCTAGACCGTGAACTGGATCAACCGCTTAGCTTCAACGAAATGAAACGGTAATCGCGCACACCGTTTTGTTTTCACGTAAATCACGATTTTTAAAAACATTGCTACCTAGTACATCAGACTAAAATGCCCACCTAAATCTAGGACATATTTAGGTCAATTATAAAGAACTCAAAACAGCCACTGCAAACAATCACAGATGCATTAAATATATTAATGCAAACTAATTGGAAGAACAGCTACTCATAATGGTGAACATCAAACATGGCAGGGTAAGCAAAAGTAAAATATAGAGTAAAAAGCATTTCACCACAACGCCACATATATTTAAATAGATAGTTCAGCTTAAACACTTAAAAACATTTCCCGTTCAAAAGCCTTGCATCTCGTATAATATCTCAGAAAGTGAAATTCAGGCACAGCTCACCATATGTCTTTGAAGTTGCTCTTTGCGCTTCATAAAATTGAGGCAAAATTCACAAAAGTAGAGCTTGAAACAGTCATTGTATTCTGGCGGGAAAGGGGAGAAATACCATGTATCTATCTCATATCTTCCAAGCTCTATCTTTGCAATGTTTTTCACTTTAGTAAATTCCTCATGTTCCCTCAAACTGGCAGCATCCAGTTCCTCATGCCCCTAACCATAAAGAACAGAGACGACTAGGAATTCATGTCGAGGAAATGTTAAAAAAAAAAAAAAGATTTTATAAAAACTTTAATGCAATTGCATTTATTTGATCAAGCCCGAACAACACAATTGTCTTACATTCTCGATACTCAATATTATTTTAAGTTAAATTGCCCATCAAAAACATAAATTTTGCTTGATGTATTCACACATTCCATATCATAAGAATTATTCTCTACAATATAATCATGATTAAAGTGATGCTAAGATAAAATATCAAAATTACAGGTTTATGATGCTAAAAACACCTGGTGCAAATTTTATTAATCTACAAAATGGGCAATTTAGTACAACTAAATTATGGAGAAGTTGGCAGGTAAAGTTAAGGACTAAGAATATTGGAACAATAAAAGATTGGTTGGTCTCTATTTCAGAAAACAATAGCAGAAATAGAAAACATTTCCAAAAGTTAATTGCGCTCCACTTTTCAATTAGACACGAATTTACATAAAAAAGAATAGTAAATGCATCCCTGAAGCTAAATTTTCAATTTTGCACGCTTCACCACTACAATGATGTTATCACCCTGAAAAAAAAGTACCTGTCAGCCAATTCTGCTAAGTTCTTGTAGAAATGTTGTAATAACATAAAAACATTCTTCATAGTTTTATTCTTAAGACAAATTAGTAGCCAACATTGCTAATGAACACTAAAAACATAGCAAGTACATGTACTTCATATTCAACTTTGCAATGAGATTAAAGAATAGAATGCTTATAGAATAATGTATATGGCCAGAAAATAAAGTAGCCCCAATAATTACAAAAAAGGAAATTTAACCTGAATTAAGAAGACAATACATCATAAAGCATGCTGCTAAGCCTCTCTGAAGCATGTCAATGAAAATCTCACGAAATATGAACTCAAGTTAATACCTCAACATGTGTCTCATCAATCTTCCTTTTCTGATGGCGTGTCATCTTCAAGCTGGTTGCCTGTTAGATACCAAAATATAAGTTTGATTTTCTCCCCCCCCCTCCAAAGTCCGCAGCAGAAAATTTTTTCAAAGCGCATGCTTCCAAAAATACAAGCGCCACAATAGATAAAAATCAACATTGTATAAAGAACTGTATTATACAGATTGTTCTTTTATTGAAGGCCAAGCAATTTGAGCACAACTTTATAAATAACTGAGAACTCGCTAAATTCTGCAGGATACAGCCAGTTTATTCACAACGCTATAAAAAAGTGAGAAAAAAAAGGAAACAATAATACGAACCTTGTCCTCCATTTTCTCATCTACACAAGTTTCCACAGTTTTAAGGTCAAGCTGTTCAAGTTTAACCCATTCATCGAGCCTTCTATTAACTGCAATAAATATAAAAAATCAGTTCATAAGTTCAATAAAATTTCTTAAGGAACTGGAAAGCTAACAAACCTCAACACTAGTTGCAATAAGTAATAGTTCGCAAATAGTCATAAACCAGCATTCAGCAACCCGGTAAACCATGATTGGCCTTTTATAAATATTTTATCAAAGAGTGTACCCTCAAACGGGGAAATAGGTAGCAAAAGAATTAACTTAGACGACCATTAAAAGAATAAAAATAATATATCAAGCCTAAAAGATACAAGCCAATCATGTAATCCATATAATCATAGGTTCCTGTTAGAAAGTGTGCTTGATGTCCGGTAGTTGAATGACATTCTATTTAAAGAATTTAGAATTAAAACTGTCCAGTAATTTCCACTCCAAAAGTGGCTCCTTATGGTTTTTGGATCCTGAAATTATTGATTAGAGAAATGCCCCATTCATAAGGAATTTATTTTCAATTATATGTTTCCTTTCTGCTGTATCTTTCCTTTCTGTTCCATGTATAGGTTGTATAAGGCCACATATTACTTCTAATTATAATCAAGTGAGAACAATATAATTCTATTCAATTTTCTTGTATTGTTCCAAAACCCAAAATTTCTATTCTTCCGGAGTCTCATCCTTCATTGCAATCACCTAGATCTCAGCCTTCATCATCTGGCATGTCTTAGCAGTCATCATGTGTAGCGACCCGGCTTGATAGCTTGGAATTAATCAAGTCAGGAATTGCGGCGCATGGTAAAAACATTTAAATAACCATCCACATATTTATAAAATCTTAGAATATATAAAAGAGTCACTAACATGCACAAAGCGCAATAATATCAAAACATCAAGAAACAACATCATCTATATATAACATCTCAAACTAACACCAGACAATATATCACAACTCGAAAAAAAACAATACTAATATACAATCATCATAATTACCTGACAGCAGGGTCCTCCTGTAAATCAAGTTTCTCCTACCAAACATAACAAGCCTAAAATTTTTCTTTACCTGAAAGAAACAATTAATTTTAACAGTAAAGTTGACTTAGTGAGTAATTATCATCTTAATATGCATTAAATTATTTCGCCAATGTCAAGCATAAATAATCAAAAGAAAATGCAGCTTATTACTTTATAAAACACAAAAATTTTCACTTTATTTTTTATTCATTACTATTTCACTTTAAGTATTTACCTTTTAATCTCTTTAAGAACCATAATCGTATTACTGTCACAGTCGAATGTATCCTAAAAAATGTACCAAAAATATAACCTAAAAAATGTACCCTCAAAATTGCACTAGAATGTACACATTTATCTTGTCATTTATTGTGCACGAGTATATCGCATACCCTCATAGTATCATCTGAGAGTAATCCAGTATGACTTAAACTTTTACTAACATTTCATATCAATTAATATGCTTTAAAAATTTACTTTCATATGTCAGTCATTTTCCTCACAAATGTAAAACAGAATTCAAACTTTCAATTTGTAAGACATGAATGAAATAATTGTTTTAAACGATTTAATAAAGTAATGATTGCTTTAATAAAACTTTGATTTAATGCATAAAAAATAATTACTCGCATTTGCTTTCAAGAGACCTCTGACATACTCATTCTTCCACTAACTTCTTTGACTAATACATATATTAATTAAAAGTGCATGTAAAATAATCTCATTCTAAAAAAAACTTACATATATATAATGACATATAAATAAATTAACACATAAATCAATTAGGAAATTCTTTACCTTAAAATTTGGCTCGCTTCCTTGCACAAGTATTCTCTTTCTCCCCTCAATCTCAAAACTATATCGCCATTACCTATAGTACTTGCTGATTTCTAACACATTTATAATTAACACTTAAGGGACAAACTTAAACATGCACATAGAATTCATTAATTAAATTAATAAAACCCAAACTTACCAATAATGTTCGACTCGATAGTCTTTCCCACACAATCTTCCACTAACAAAGCATGTTTTAAATTCATAAACCATAAATGTAATATTATAATCTATTTTAATTAATTAACTTTATATATTTAAAACTTAAACTAAATCAAATAAATTTATTTAACTTAAAACTCACAAATCTTTACCTCAAATAAGCGTTGATCGGCTGCTCTATCTCACGCACGCCCGAAGTTCGACTCCCCTTCCCCTCTTCATCCCACATGTGAGCGCCGCAGAACTCATTCTCCTCCCTTTTCTCCTTCGGTCGCTACTCACCCAAACTCAACGCTCACGCTTCTTCCTCCAGCTAGTGTTCAACATCCAAAGTTTCCTCCAACTTCAATCTCTGGACGCAAGCACGACAAGAAGGTTTCCTTCTTCCTCCTTCAACTTCTCATTCCTTTTCTTCTTCTTCCTTCCTCTCCTTCACATAGTACATGTGCAAGAAGTCGCAACATCCTCATTCCTTCTCAACTTCAATCGGCTAGGGCTCAACACAAGACAACACACGAGAACTTTCTCCTTCCTTCTACGGTTGCCTCTCATCTCTTAGTTACAATAAGTCGAAAGGGGATACGACTCTTATGTCGTAATTGAAGAGGTGTGTATCCCTACACCTATTCTATTATATTATTATTATTATTATTATTTATTTATTTATTTAAAATTTTCAATTATTACAATCTCCCTACTTTATAAAAATTTTATCTTTAAAATTTAGAAAGAATTAAAAAGCATTTCTCAAACAAAAGGCTGTAGATATTTTTCTTCAATCTCAGAGACTTTTCTCTCAAGTAGCGCACTTCTTTGATCCATGCTTTCATAAAATTTTCACAAATGAGATTTCTCTATTATGAAGCTTCTTCACATCATATTCTAGAATCATTTCGGGCTCTTCAATATAAGTCAAATCAGGCTGAACATCAACTGACTCTACTATCACGCTACTTGACTCAACTACAATATTCTTCCTAAGTGAAAAAATGTGGAAAACATTATGCACACCTTGCATATGAGTCGGTAAAGTCAATCTGTAAGCTACCTTCTCAATCCTCTCCACAATTTCAAATGACAAGACAAATCTAAGACTCAATTTTGCTATGTTTTAAAATCTTTGCACATCTTTAATGGACTAACCTTGATAAAGACATTCTCCAACTTCAAACTCAGCAGTCTTGTGCTTGGCATCGCAATATTTCCTCTATCCTACATCGCACTTAGTCTGTCTCTGATAAATCTAATCTTCTCAATAGAATTATCAACTAAATCAGTTCTAATGATCTTTCTTTCACCTATTTCTGCCGAACATAATGATAGCATGCACTTCCTTCCTTACAATGCTTCATATGTGGTCGTCCCAATGCTATCCTGGTAACTGTTATTGTAAGCAAACTCTACTAAAATAATATATGATTCCCATCCTCCATTAAAGTCAAGAACACAACCTTAGTAGATCCTACAACATTTGAATAGTCCTCTTTGGCTGACCATCTATCTTGGGGTCAATCGGATGACCAAAGCTTCCTAAACTTTCTTCCACAATCTAGAAGTAAACATGTCATCTCTGTTGAAGACAATAGACTTCAGCACTCCATGCAACCTCACAATTTGATCCACATACAATTTGGCTAACTTCTCCACTAGATTTGTCTGTTCTATGTGCAAAAAATGAATAGACTTAGTCAATCTGTCGATGATACCTATATAGCATCACAACCCTGATATTATCTAAGCAACCCAATCACAAAATTCATTGCAATCACCTCCCATTTTCACTCTGGGGTCGATAAATGCTACAACTGACCTCTAGAATGTTGAACTGCCTTTACCACCTGACATGAAAGACACTTAGCCATAAATTCTGTCACACTTCTCTTCAATCCTTGTCACCAAAATACTTCTTTGAGAATATGATATATTTTATTATTCCCTAGTTGAATAGTATAGCCAGAAAAGAGTGTTTCCTCCATAATTTCATTCCTCGTATCATCAACATTTGGAACATAAACTCTGCTTTTATATCTCAATAAACCATAATGAACTAGCACATACCTCTCCAAACTACTTGTCTTATTCTGTTCCAGGATTTATGAACATTGACATCTCGGGCTAAAGAATCTTCAATTTTGCCTTCAAAGTTGACTGATATAATTGAAACAAACTATCATCACCATAATCAACTATAGATAGCTTCAACTTCTCCAGATCTTTAAGTAACCGCTCTTGTTGAGTAATTAAATGGTTTAAATTACCTGGTTTTCTTACTCAACGCATCAACAACCATATTTGTCTTCCCTGGATGGTACTGAATATCCAAATTATAATCTTTAAGAAACTTTAATCATCTCCTTTGCTCTAGGTTCAATTCTTTCGGAATAAAAATATACTTCAAACTTTGGTGGTCAGTAAATACCTCGCATATAACTCCAGACAGATAGCACCTTCATATTTTATGTAAAAAAGCAACTGTTGCAAGCTCCAAATCATGTGTGAGATAATTATTTATATTGAGGTGATGCATATACAATAAACATTCATGTTGGATAAGTACACAATCCAAATCCCTCAAAGATGCATCACTGAAAATCTGAAACTCGTCAAAACCTGAAGGAATAGCCAAAATTGGAGCAGACATTGGAAAACTTCAACTTTTGGAAAGCCTCCTCAAAATGATCTGATCATTCAAACTTCACTGCCTTTTGAGTCAACCTTGATAATGGCATGACAACCTGTGAAAGCCCCTCGACAAAATCCAGTAATAACCAACCAAACCTAGAAAACTTCAGACCTCAGTAATAGCAGTATGTCTTAGCCAATCTGCAATCGTCTGGATCCTATTCTGATTCACATTTATGTCGTCTCCATTGATAATGTGCCCAAGAAAAATTACACTGCTAAGCCAAAATTCACATTTAAAAATTGTCATAAATGTATTTTTTTTTCAAAACCTGTAGCACATCATGTAAATGATCTTCATGGTTGGCTTCATCACTCAAATGCACCAAGATATCATTTATAAAGACAATCACAAAAG